GTCCTGATGACTAATGTAATTATTTTATTAATCAGGAAGGTGTAATGGTTAGTTTTCTCAACACTGATCACGTGGTTAAAATGTCGATTTGTAAAATACTGTTCACATGTTAAACTTAATATTTTGCATGTTGACTATCAGTGTTTTAAAACTGAACATGTTGATGTGCTGTATAGCCTCATAGTGCTGCTAGCGTGGCTGTGGACTTCAAATGTTCTTTATTCTGTGTAAAACAATGATAATAACATGTCTTTTTCATTCAAATGTTCGTTGTTCAGGCTGCTGGCTTGTTTGGGGTTCATGAAATTACCTATATTTAATCGTCTTTACAGTTTGCCGTTGGTAACTCACTTGAGTGAGACTAAAAAATGTGTTTTCTTCTCTCCAGCCCAAGTGTAATATTATGATATTTGACTGACTGGTCACTACGGTTACTTGTTCTGTGTGAGAAAACGAGTAAAAGTGTGTAAAGATCATGTTTCCTGTATAGAGTCATAATGTGCAAGAGCAGAACGGAGGTGGAATTTTCAAAAACATTAAAAGTAACTATGGAGGTTCTGCATTTTTCTTACATTTAAAAAAAAAAAAAAGTCCACACAGATAAAAGGGGCTAAACACAACTCTAAGAGGAATTATTCTCCTTTTTCTATTTTCTTAAATACTTAAATGTTTACCACCAGATGAAGACAGTGCAGAAACATGAAATCAGGAACAATGAGTCATTATGAAACTTTATATTTGTCTGTAAGACACATAGAGTCCAACCAAGAGGAAATAAAAAACTTCTTGGTCCTCTTCTTCTTCCCGAGTCGACCATGTTTCATGTCGGAACAATTAAACAAGTCGCTGCAGCCACCCAGCTCCTTCTCCAGACACTGAACTCAATTATTACAGAGGCTAACTCCTCATCACCACAAGTTCACTGAGTGTGTCTAATCTTATCTGATCCGTTATTAGCAGCATTTTTCATCTTTATGGCAGAGCTAACAAGCCTTTGAGATCGTTAATAGCTGGGAATGTTCAAATCTCACGTTAAGCATGAAGATGAATGAAAGAAGGATCACTGAACATAAATCACTTTGCTCTCTGCATAGTTGTACAGTGTGGGGAAAGTCTTAAGCCCAAGGATTCACCAGCAGTTCTCATGAAACTAAAGAAATCACACAGTACGAGGTGATCTCTCAAGCAACCACTTTTATTTAATTTAAATCTAAAGTACATTTTGATGCCTGTGCATAGGCAAGAACCAAAAATGATTTATCACACACAGCTTTAACGTCATCTAGGAAATAAGGAAAAGATTACTGAGGAATGCATTACCAAATGCTTATTTCTGAAATGACAGCAAATTGGGACATTGCTGTTCAAAGACCAAATAATGAATCACACAGACTTTTCTTGCAGAAAGACCCAGGTGCTCATTTTGAAAGAGCTGCGAAAAAACAACTTCATGAACCATTTGAAAAGCAAACACAGCGCACTGCACACTTGACTGTCAAAACCAACACAAAAACGCATGACTGTAAAAGCAAAGGGACGGCGAGATGCTTTTAGTTACTGAGCAGAGAGCTGTCAATATGTTTGTTAACAGTGAAGGGGTCACAGGTTAAGAGCTGGTAATCAGACAAAGTTTGAGTGATGGACGAGGTGGTATCAGAGCGGGAACGACTCCACAGAGACGCACAGTTTGGCTTGTGTGTTCAACTTGTTCAACAAAGAGGGAACTAAACATTTATGAATCACATCAGTGTGCTGGTGAAGATAAAACCCACTTAAGGCAATATCCCTGCCAGACACTGAATGGATTCGCACTCATCGCACAGCCCTCATCCTCCCACCAGGTTTAGACAGCTCAATCTTTCTTGGAGTCCTCGGGGTCATGTGGCAGTGACCTGTTATCAGTGACCCAACTTAGGCCTCCAGACGGCATTAATCTGTCATGATAAGTTTACATCTGCTCAAATTGCTGCACTGTTACCTTGGCATTAATTGAAGTGCTGATTTGGGGTCTGTTTTTTCTTGTTTCTCTTTTGTCTGTTTTCTAATCCATCTGTCAGAGAACATCCAGCCACACTCCAGCCAGTCAGTCTGACTCTTCAGGGTAAAGTCAGAGGCCGCACAGTCTTTCCTCCTCTTCCTCCACCAGACTCCTGAACCACAGAAATACATAAAAACATAACATGCAGGTTATAACTCTTACAGGTAGAGATGATAAGCACGGTTAGTCTGAGGTGACTACACACAGAACTGAAAGGTTTTCATTTTCCAATTACATCAGTATTTTGGGCTAGAAAATGTCAGAAAATAGTTTTTAAAAAAAGAAAAAGAAAAATTCATATTGCTTTTATTTACACAAGATTATTTACAAGATCTGACATTATGCTTGAAAAATTTGTTGAATAAGTAATTACATTCAGTGTGGCTGAAATTTGAATTTGCTTTTGACTAATCATTTCAGCTCGCGTTCATTTGGTAGCTGTTCTGGAGCTTTTGATCATAAACCTTGAACATGGATCTTGGAGTGCCATTTCCAGGCTAAAGAATGAACTCTGAAACTCAGCTTTTAAGCCGTCATCAAAGAGAAGTCCTTCCAGCGTACAATGCACATGATAACTGGCAGGCTTTCTGTGGATGAAGACTTAATACCACTTAATGGTCCTTGTGATGAGGCTGTTGGATCAGTGTTGAAAAACCATCATGCAATTATCATAAATGTGTTCATCATATGTTAGTGAATTGCTGCTTTAGTAGCATATTTTTAAAAAATGTAGTACAAAGTATATTTTCTAGTCACTTGTGATCACAAAACTGACATATTATAATTTATTATATCTGATTATATGATGAACATTTTGGCAACCAGCAGACACAGAGTAACATTACCGTCATATGAAGTCATGTTTTTGTTTCTGCTTCAAGAATTTAAGTCTAATATTTCCTCTTTCTTAAACTCGGTTTTTAGTTTCATTCTTAACTCCGGAGGAAAACAGCACACAGTAGGTTTTTAGAGTTAATTTACTGACAACAGCTGAACTTGAACCACTGGGGATGAGAGCAGTGTGATTTAAGGCTGCAACTAACGATTGTCTGCAATGTCAATTCTATATGAATTATCAGTTGTTTGCTGTTTAAACTGCCAGAAAATGACGCCCATGATCTTCAACTGTCTTATTTATCCACAATATAAAGATCTTCAGTTTATTGTCATAGAAGAGAAAAGAAAGGTGCCAATGAACCTAAATATACAATTTTCAGGCTGGAAAACCCCCAAAAATGAGCTGAAAGCTGCTATAAAGCTCAAAGGAGCTGAGGGAGAGTAATTCGAGTCATATTGTTACAATACAAGCAGTAATTATAGCAGCTTTAAGATAGGGCCTAGTGTATAGGTTAAAGTAAAAAGGAAAATGTCCTTAGTGGAGCCACTTGTTGCCGTATATTGCAGCAGCGTGACGAGACCACAAAGAACAGCAGAATGTATTATAGTGTAACATGGTTCGCATCAGCAGCAAGCTAAAGCAGAGAGCATCTGCTCAAACTGCTCTGAGATGCTTTCACAGGCGATAAGCCACGCGGTAATGGCAACCTGGGGTCATTAGGGTCTGTTGTGCAGACAGTTTGCCACGGCACGGAGAGAATAAACAACCACCATTTTCATTTCTTATTCATGGCTTTAATCACGGATGACAAAACATCCAGTAAATAGAGAAAAGGGAGGAAGAAAGTTGGCATTGACTGTGTGCCTTTCCTGTGCTTTAAATGTCTTTGGGACAGTCTGCTGGGTAATGAGAGGGAATTAAAACTGTGGCGAATTTGTAAATGTGCGTAAGGGGGGGGTTGGGGTGGGCTGACATTAACAGGCTGGCATGGAGTAGAGCTGGCAGTGGCCCAGCTCACAGCACTGACAGTGTGAGGTCCTCTTTGCCCATTCTAATGAGGTATTTTGAGGGTCTGAGCTCAGGCCTGCAGCGGGGCCCCCTGGGGGTCAGATGCAGTTGGATGGGTGATGGAAGAGACCAGGAGGAAGTCTGTATCAGTGGCATGGGATGGCTGAAATGCGTCAGTCCACATACCAGGATGGCAGATGGTTAAACAACTTCAATGAATGCGGGGAATGACATGAAACGTCTTCAAGGTCGTATAAAGGAAACTGCATCATATTCAGAAGCCGTTTCCTGTGACCTCAGCTGGCCCCTGATGTCAGCCCTTTGTCTGCAGGAATATCTTAAACGGACACTGCGGATGTCCAGGTGACATTGAATGAGATGCTCGGACAATACTGGACTCATACACAGGATCTTACGGAAATAATCCTCCTATTATTCACAGTGCTGTTTTTGTAGAACGAGAACGGACACTGAGTGGTCATTTTAACAGTTATCGGTGATTTGCTCATAAGTGAAGAATGTCAAACGTAAACAGCTAATTTAAATTTAATGAAACCATCCCAGGTCCATTATTTGCCCCTGAACACTTCACTCCTCTTGACATGTTTAAATAATATGTGGCACTTTATTGAGCACCGTAGGGGACGTCTGTTTTCATTTGACCCCCTACCACAGGGATGGGAATCCACCATACATGTCAGGAAAGGCTTTGAGTCTGTAGACTTTAATTGCAATCAGATACCACAGCTTTAGACTTGAACACCTTTAACAGGGGAAGGCAAACTAATCAGTGAAATAACCTGGTGCGGTGTTTTAGTTGGAATGAAAACCTCCAGCAGACATGGCTGTTCTCTCGCCTGACAGTCAGTTAAACCGCACTATCCAAAAATCTTCTCATGTCCCTGGTATAAACCTCGCTGCACATGTCAGAGTGTGCGTGTTAAAATTTTACTGTTCTCACTTAAGAATAACAACCCGCAGCTCTATTAAATTATGAGAGTCGTGAAGGCTCAGAGGATCACAGTGAGGTTTGTGTTTATGGCACCTCTTCATTTCAAAATGTGCAAACGAGACGTGGATCGGCACTCATACATTATGGTCTGCTGTAGCACATAAGGTCTTTCGGTTAAAATGTAATTACTGCTGTAAAGTCTATCCCAGGAGGAAAGGTTGTTCCCATCCTTAAAAGAAATCATCTAAAGGGCACTGTTGAATACAGCGCGTCTTCATATTGTAACCTGTTACATTAAATTACTAAGAAAAAGGATTTAAAATCGTAAGGGCCAGATATTTGAGGTCAAATTATTTAATGTAAAAACTGAGTCTCTATTTAACTGTGAGAATCGGAACTGGTCTTATTGTCACTGCTTTTGAATCAAACAGCTTTTCATTAATGAACCTTTTTTATTCATAAAGCTGCGTGGTATTGTCAACATGGACAACAATTTCTTAAAGATTGTGAAGCCACTGCTACACAGGGATATATAATAGTATTTGATATGGGCACATGTTTGTGACTGTGACATGCTGAACTAGTACTTAGTGCACTATTCAAACAAGAGCTAGCAGATAGCTACTTGCTAGCTATGGATTTTTCACTGTCTGTTGGGTTATGAGTAAAATTAAACATTAAACAAATAATTGAGTGAGTGAAGTTCCTTCTGATGTAGTAAATCACTTTTGCTGTTTTGGTGTGGCTTTGCTTGCTACATTTGTCTGAGGGTAACTACAGTGCAGTGAAGCTTTATTTAATGTTGAATCATGATGTAATTCCAGTCAAGTCATAATTTCTGAGTTCCTAGTCAGAAAATTTCAACTGGAACGCCACTTGTCGTCAAACTTTTTGGCCCGAAAAGTAAAAGAACTTCACCAACATAACCTCAAAATCCAAGATGGCTGCTCAGCATCTCAACAGCAGTAAAGCTGTAACAATGTCCTGTTTATTAGCAATCCTGTCTTATTCGTGTCTCATTAAATCAATTGAACACAGCACAGTCCAAACTGTCCAACTTCTAACAGTGGACATGTTGCTATGTAAATTTGTACGTGCAAATTAAAGCATAATCCATCATTGTACACTGGTATTGCCAACAATTGCTTACCTGAAAACTTGACTTGTACAAGAACAAATTCAAATCAGTGTGATGTCATCCAGCCTCAACTGACAAGGTCAATGGAAAGCAGCATAAATGTTAGCTTAGCTCTCTACAAACAGCTTACCGGACTTTGATTATTATGTTTCCACAGTAAAGGGAGTTATGTTTTATACATACAGTTGCTGGTTATGCACAGTAAATGAATGTATACAGGTCTTTGCACCATGTAAACATGTTTAAATACTAATTCAGTCTAATTTTTGCCTTTTTTTTTCTTTGCTGCATTTCACATTTCTTACTACATATGCGATAAAGTCCAGATTTTTTATTTTTGTCCATTTATGTATATTATAAAAACCAATAAGCTAAAAACTATGTCTAGCTTTGTGTACATTTTATTGATGAAATCTTCTGGAGGCTCATTGGTCATTATGTATCAGATTGTCTAGTGCAATGCCAAATACCTTTAGGTGGATCAGCTGTGTTTGTTCTCTCATCACCGACGGAAATCTTATCAGATCATCTGTTTTTTTCTTGCACTTTGAAGTGTGAACTATCTGTTATTCAGTGCAGTTTTGTACAGTAAGTAAAAACAACCTTAACCAGATTTATCACATCACAGTGTCTGACCTGTAGGCAGTAATCTCCATGTCTCTGGCCATCTTCTCACTGAGCAGCTCCTTATAGTCCTCACACTGCTCCTTCATCTGTGTTTTGAGGTCGGCCTCCTTCTGCCTCATTTCGTCTATGGTACACTAAATAACGTGCACGTACACACAGCACAGGGTGGGCCGTAGAAGATGAGATTAAATGACAGAATTAGCCCAAACCACCGGTCCATTACAGGTCATGATTACATTAATCCATCCACTCTCATACCTCTAACTCAGCAATCTCGTCTATGTAGGCAGCTTTCTTCATCTCAGCCTCATCCTCCAATTCCTCGTTACACTTCTCCAGCTCAGCAAGCTCCTTTTGCAGCTCTGAAATCTACAGAAATATAGAAAAACAGCAATTATTCTTTCAAAATGTGTCTGCAAAACACACCACTCTTTTGTGCTGATGTTAGACTACAACATAATATTCTCTCTTTGTGGTCATTTTCAGTTCAAGACGAGCAGCTGAAGAACACTTGAGCAGAGGAGCTTCATGTTCTGGTGAGCCTTGTCCTTAAACCAGATTTCTACATGAAATGATAATTAAATACCCAAAATCTAACATACAATATTCCGCTTGTTACAGTGTTAGCTGCTAAATATCTCCCTATAGAGATATCTAGAAAACAGAGTAATCTGAGTCACATTTCTGGCCACCTGACAACCACAATTCCTATATTTACTCTGCTTTAAGTTTCGTTTTGGTCTCATTAGTGTCTTTTTAGCCGTGTTAGCAGGAACTTGACATAATGGTCCACCAGTCTGGTCCGGACTGAAATATCTCAGTGTATACTGGATGGATTGCTACAAAGGTTTTTACAGACATTCATTGTTTCCAGATGAGGGCTACTTCTTACTTGGGTGATGCCTGACATTGTATCCAGTGCCATGACAAGGTTTGTGGTTTTAAGGTGAAATATTTCAGCATATATTGGATGGATTGCAAAGAAATTTGGTTCACACACTCACACCCCCGTCAGGAGGAAGTGTATTTATTTTGGTGATCTCCTCAGTTTTCATCTAAAGCCATCATCACATCAATATTTTCATTTCTCCAACAATTCAGTTTGTGATTTAATACCTTCAAATTGAACACATTTCCATCAGCTTCAGCTGTACTTAGTGTTTAGGAATAAGAAAACATAGCCAAAATTGTGCTTCAACTAACTAAAGCGTAAGTGTGCCAATTAACCCAGCAAACACAGACAGAACAGGTTACTTTACCTCTACTACAAACTAACTGAGGAACATCCCTCCCCCCGATATCTCAGGCTGTGATGTCCTGCCGTGAGTAATTACAGCAATCACAGAAGTTCAACAATTAACTGTCAAAGCCAGATGGGGATCCAGGCGGTCCTGCTCGTCTTTCAGCAAGATCATGTGAGCAAAAGACGACCCGGTTACTACTCACAGACTGATGACGACTTCCCAAACTGGTCGAGTCACTTACTCACACACTCCTTCATTCTCCCTGTCATGATAAGTGGAGTCTGGTCGTGCATGTGTAGGCGAGTAGCGGCGTACAACCCCATCAGTGCCGGCTCTATTATATACATTTCTGTGTCAGGGCTGATTTCACTGCAATCTGTTTGTTTGGCCATGTTGTGTCTCAGTGAGAAACCAGACCCGAGGCATCCATCACAGGCGAGAGAGGAAACAGAGCAGATCAAGCCGTGCTGTCCATCCGTCAGGCTGGATTGAGCTGAACTGGGGCTTGTGTGCTGCATATTAGAGAAAAGTAGATGATGTTGGGAGAGTTCTGCTGTGGCTACAGAGGCTCACTGTTTATTTAAAGAGCTGGAGGTAGAGCCACAGTCACAGTAATGAGAACCAAACCAGCATGTTTGTTACAGATGTGGTTAGGTGCCAGCTGTGGTCAGGCCACTGATGGATGTAAAGAGACCAAGGTAGACTAAGAGGAGGTAGTCTCTGTTTCCTGGAGTTATCCGGTGATTTAACCTGAGTCACCAGTTTACCTGGTTCGTGTCTTTATTGATGCCGCACTTTGCCATCTGTCTCATTTAAAGGTCCCTTGCTTTCCCGGCATTTCTTTTTTTGCTGGCTGGATAAAAAATATCAGATGAAGGTTTATTTCCTCTTTTCAAGTTACAGAAGAAGTCCACAGTCAGTGTGTGCGTGTGAAGTTTTAAGACGTTTATGACGCTGCAGGCGCTCTGAAAGACTGTACTTAATAACTGAGGACACAGAGGGCAATAAATCCTGTCTGAGCTGCAGCCGAGCCCTTCACATCTCCTGCTGAAAGTGTCCGCAGAATAAACACTCTGGTCAGCAGGATCTCCCACACTGTTGCTCTGCTGTCACTCAGCTGTCCTCCACTCCCTTCGCCTGCTGTGGGAAACCATTCATTTTCACCATTATGTCTGATTTAAGAGCTGATGGACGATGCCGAGTCGGTCGTGGGTTGTAAGACTCCACTGTTTTTTGTCAGTAAAGAGGTTGAAAATGTATCTTGGGAAGATCTGAATCAGTAGGCAGTAACCAAAGGATTTAAATGATGTGTAGACATGAGGATGAAAGGGTCAGTTAACCCCTCAAAAATATACGTTTTCTTACTCGGCAGTAGGTGTTGCTAGTCATGCAGACAGTTTTGACTTTGTACTTCCAGAAGCTGTAGAAGCAGAAGTCAAAACAGTTTTAGCAGTGAAGAGTTGAAAAACTACATTTGAATAATTCACTGACATGACAACCTGTAAAGAGTGTTCCCAAAACTGTGGATTCAATTCAATTCCAATTTTATTTTATTTATATATAACTAATTCACAACATATGTCATCTCAAGACACTTAGTGAGCAAAATTAAACAGAGAAACCCAACAAATCCAAATTTTCCTTTGGATTCCTGATAAGGAAGCATTTGGCAACAGTGAATAAATCTCGTCACCCTGGGCTGTTTCTTAAAGCAATACTTGCATTTAGGGGAAATTCACTTTATCACTCAGAGCTAGATAAGCGATTGAATAGCACTCTCATGCCTGCACAGTAATATGAGATTACCAAGAAAAGTTAACTAACTAAGCTTAGCCTAAAGATTGGAAATTGGGGAGGGGGGCAGGCTGATGCTGACAAATAAACTTCAGAAAGCAACTGTACCCAGACAAAAAAAAACAGTGGGCACATAAACCCTCATAAAACCTCAGCTTGTCGTTTTTACACTTCCGTTTCTTTGCACAGTAAACAAACAGCTAATAGCATGTTAACTGGTAAACTTTAAAGGTTCTAATATGAGGATGTTGTTATTTTTAAAGGGAGCCAGGCTAGTTGTGTTGCAGCTTTTCCAGTCTTTGTGCAACATGAAGCTAACCAGCCGCAGGCTGTAGCTTCATATTTAATTTGTATTATTGGTCGTCTCTTCTAATTCTCAACGAGAAAGCTTGTATGTCTATTTCTCAAAATGTTGAACTCTTCATTTAAGGCTGAAACGTGCATCTTTGGATTGTGCTTGTGCCATGGCTGTATTAAAGGAAACTGGATACTGGAAAGATGGCGCACGCTGGTTGAATGAAAATCGCTCACCTGGTACATGAACAGAAAAACTTTTCTAGCCCCCGCATTGTGCTGCCCAGTGCACATGCACATTAGCGCTTTCCTCTGCTTGCTCCACCTGCAGGTTCCCGCTCAGTCTACAGACTTTCCATTATGAAACATTAGCTCCAAGCCTGAGTGGTGTCACAGTATCCAGTTCTATTAATACATTCATGAGTGACACAAACCTGCATAGGGCTTATTTCTCTTATTTTTATACTTGCATGTACAACTAAGATGACTCTTGTTTGTTTCAACCAATCAGCTTGCTCACCGCCCAGGTCTGCAATACTCTTTTTTTTTTTCAGATTTGGGAGATATAAGAGGTGATTATCTCAAAATCATAGCAAATAAAACTAAACTGATCTGTATTATTGTAAAGCACAGAGAGTTTATTAACATTAAAATGTGCTATATAAATAGAAATGCTTTGGTTGTAATGGCCCAGTACCACATTTTTGTAATTTGGGTGAACTGACCCTTTCAACAGGAAAACTGAATAAAAGGAGCCCACTCACCAGCATTTTTATCTCTCCGACATCAGTCATCTTGGACAAGTCTTTGACCGGTGACCCTACAGTTCCTCCCACTTCCAGTTTCTTTCCATCACCACTGCGAAGCACAGCAGAGGACGATGCACCGCACTCATACTGCAGAGACAGAAGAGAAGGAGTCAGTGCAGTTGTGAAAGTTTATATGCATGAAAACAACTATTAGACCTTTCAGTTTAAAGGTAGAAATGCAGAAGACCATGGAGGATAGTGCTCTCTTTTGGACAGTTAAGTGCACTTTGACAGTGGGAGCAAAGAGCAATCAGTGCCTCTCATACTGGCTGATGGTTAAAGCTCTCCTTGCGTTCACCGCAGTCATGATTGGATGGAACAAATGCAGCCGAAACAAGCAGCATGAGGGTGCACAGGTGTGTGGGAGTCAGCCAGCAATCACCATTACTGTTCAAAACCAATAGCAATCATTTTAGTGTTGAGACAATTGCATCTCGTAATCGAGGCCAGACGCAGACAGGACGGTGTCCAGCTGGCGAGGGAAGAGGCTGAGTGGGAGGGAGGGAATAGATGAGGTTTAAAGGGGGCACAAGAAACACAACAACGCATCGAGGCAGGCGCACATCTATATAAGTATGCCGGATACCCTTCAGCCATGCCTCCAAATGAAGGACACACACACACACACACACACACACATCAGCGTCCACTCCAGCGCTGCTCAGGAGCATGGGAAGGCGGCCTGCAGTCTGATTACAGCCCTGACCTCTGAACCAGGCAGACATCCTCACCCCAGAGGGGGTCAGACCCACCGGAGCTGCAGTCTGACCCCAATGCAGTACTTCTGCACTGAAACACACACACACACACACACACACACCTACACACACACACACACAGGTGGACAAAGGCATTCTGTTCGGGTCCAGAAATAAAGCTCTGATTCTCAAGTTCTTCCCTGATGTTGTGTTAAGAGGTAAAGAAAACAAGTCCGAGTACCGTTGTGTGATTTGTGAAAGTTGAGATTTACGTCTGGACTTGGCCGGGCCGCTTCTGAAGCGCAGAGAGAGGATGATGCGGTGAGAACAGGAGAAATCCCATGATCAGGAGGAGCATGAGGAGCTGCTCCATGGATGCAGTGTTGCAGCTCTTGTACTTAAATTTCTACAAGAATTTTATAATCATTATCAAATGTGGAAGACCTGCAGTTAAATTGTACAACTACAGAAGTATGAGCTGAAAAAGGTACTCGAAGCATTGAAATAAAAGTATTTGTTCTGCAGGGGGGAAATAAACCCTGTGTTTTATTAACACTGATGCATCTCTGTAAAACTTGAATTATTGGAATTATTGTATTATTATTGTTGCTACAGTTAGTCAAAAATAAGTTTCATTTACTTAATATACAGTTACAAAGTTTAGTCCAGTGTTCCCCCTCCTGGGAAGCTGATCGAGTCCCCGTAAAATAGTCCCAAATAAATCTAAAGGTACTGATTAATGGAGTAAGACAGAACAAAATCCTGCTACACAAATTTGCGGAAAGTTGCATATTTGCATCTCTGAAGTACTGAATAACGAACAGTTTGGCAACCATGCAAGGAGATAATAGAGAAAATCCCTCTTCGGTATAACAGCTCGTAATGTGTGATTGCGCATAAAACAGTCTGAATGGAAACACTGCAAATTTGAAAAACACTTTGCAACAAAGTTTTTACACTCGGCTGAGGAGGAAATCTTTGTGTGATAATAAAAACAAAATGAGATGAAGCGCAGTGAAACTCGAGCGAATGAATCAGGATATTCAGCACAGGGCTGAAGCTTCCCAGCACTACAGACTAGAAGCACCAGATCTCTGTGGAGCGATAAGGAGACTCTAACACTCCTCAAGTTAACGCAGGAGGGAAACAGAAATGTCACATTTCCATCTTGCTTGCCACATGTTTTTCCATCGTGTGACGCTTGATTAGAGGCTCTTTTAACTGCATTGCACCCTGTTCTCCTGCAATTTTGTTCTAGCAGCTGGAGAATTAGCCTCACCAGCTGTTTATAGCAACGTGCACGGCTCCTGATATTGGTAACTGGCATTCATTTGCATTTTCTTTTGCGTATTTTTCTGGGAAATTCATTAAAATGTTCTCGACATCTGGATGGAATATGGAATACAGACATCTGAACATGACAAAGGCTCTAAGCAGAGTCAAAAAGGTTAGAAAACACTTTAATCTTAAATAATGCAACATTTTTAAAAACACAATCTGAAATCCCAATCTGAAAATATACTATTATCGATAGCTGTGAGACAAGCTACATGCAGTTTTACAGTACGATATTTGCTCCTAAGAGGTAGTGAAGTAGAAATGTAAAGTGGTATACAGATGATATACTTAACTTATTCATGTCTATTAAAATTCTACTTAAATACAATACTTGAGTGCTGCTGGTGTGCGTAGAGTTCATTCATGTATATGTGACTGTGTCTAAAGCCACAAACAGCCTTGTGGTTCCTAAACGTCTTCATGGTATGTTTTTGTGTCTTATGCTACACTGTGCAGTACCTGGAGGCTCTCAGCCAGCTGGCAGTAGTACTTCTTTACATCCAAGGCCGGAGTGATGTCTGGGCTGCCAAATTTAAAAGCCACTGCTCCTGTAGTGCCGTCATCTGGCTCCAGCAGACTCCCCACTTCCTGCATGAACATACAACACATTAAAAAATCACACTGCAGTGAGGTACATTCTACTACTATACTCAGTGGTGAAAAGTAACTAAATACATGCATTAACTATACTTAAGATCCATTTTCACTGTTACTACTTACATTTCAGAAAGAATGTATTCATTTTTATTTGCACTTTACACAAAAGGTGCTCACATTTAATTATGTGATGCATTACCAATGATAAATCACAAAACTAGTAGTTAAAATTGACCTGCTGCAACATTAAAACTCTGCTCTTAATAAATCAATAATGCATAACAATTTTAAAAACGAACGTTATTCACAAGGACTACATTGATTGTGATACTTTAAATACACTTTTCTGATAATACTTCTTATATAATACTTAGTCTCTTTACATAACTAATATTTTGAATGCAGAAATGTTTAACTTTTTAACAGAGTATTTTTTTAATCAGTCATATAATGACTTCTATATATAGAAACATCTGCATACTTTAAAACTATTTCACTACAAGTAAAGGTCTCCACAAAAAACGACATCTGTGAGTATGTAGTATGACATATTGTGCAATTAGATTACCATTTCTAGTAATGCTTTAAAAGTAAAAGTGCAGTGCCATGAAAAAGTATTTGCCCCCTTCTCAAATTCTTATTTTGTTTTTTTTTTAAATATATTTTCACTTCAATGTTTAAGATCAAACAAATGTAGATCTCAGACAAAGATAACCCAAGTAAACAAAATGCAGTTTTTAGATGAGGATTTTATTTATAAAGGAAAAAAATAAATACTCAAAGCCACGTGGCCCTGTGTGAAAAAGTAATTGCCCCTAAACTTAATAACTGGTTTGGCCACCCTCAGCAGACAACAGCTGAAATCAAGCGTTTTCTAGAACTGGCAATGAGTCTTTCAGATCTCTGTGGAGATATTTTGGCCCACTCTTCTTTGCAGAATTGTTTTAATTCAGCAATACTGGAGGGTTTTCGAGCATGAGCTGCCTTTTTAAGGTCATGCCACAGGATTTCAATCGAATTCAAGTCCAGACTTTGACTAGACCACTCCAAAACCTTCATTTTGTTTTGTTTTATGAAGTCATTCAGAAGTCAACTTGCTGGTGTGTTTTAGATCGTTGTCCTGCTGCAGAACCCAAGAGTGCTTCAGATTGACGGCACGAACTGATGGTTGAACATTGTCCTTCAGGATTTTCTGGTAGAGAGCAGAAGTCATGGTTCCATCAATCACAGCAAGTCGTCCAGGTCCTGAAGCAGCAGAGCAGCTCCAGACCACCACACTACCACCACCATATTTGATTGTTGTTATGATGTTGTTTGTCTGAAATGCTGTTACTTTTGCGCCAGATGTAACGAGACACCCACCTTCCAAAAAGTTCAACTTTGGTCTCGTCAGTCCATAGAATATTCTCCCAGAAGTCTTGAGGATCATTCAGATGTTTGTTTGCAAAAGTAAGACGAGCCTTTATGTTCTTTTTGATCAGCAGTGGTTTTGACCTTGGAACTCTGCCATGGATGCCATGTTTGTCCAGTCTCCTCCTTATTGTTGAGTCATGAACACTGACCTGAATTGAGGCAAAGGAGGCCTGCAGTTCTTTAGATATTGTCCTGGTTCCTATGTGACTTCCTGGATGAGTCGTTGCTGTGCTCTTGGGGTAACTTTGGTCGGCCGGCCACTCCTGGGAAGGTTCACCACTGATCCATGTTTTCTCCATTTGTGGATAATGGCTCTCGCCTTGGTTCTCTGGAGTCCTAAAGCTTTAGAAAGGGCTTTATAACCCTTTCCAGACTGATACATGTCAATTACTTTATTTCTCACCTGTTCTTGAATTTCTTTGGATTGCGGCATTTTGTTGTAGATTTTTGAGATCCTTTGGCCGACTTCATTTCGTCAGACAGGTTCTATTTAAGTGATTTCTGGATTGAACAGGTCTAAAGGTAATCAGGCTTGGGTGTGGTCAGTGAAATTGAACTAAGCTTTCCAAAAAACGTGATTAGCCACAGTTAATTCATAATTTAACAAGGGGGGGTAATTACTTTTTCGCATAGAGTCAGGTAGGTTTGGATAATTTTTTTTCCCCAAAACACTAAATCATCATTTAAAAACTGCATTTTGTGTTTACTTTGGTTATCTTTGTCTAATATTTCAATGTGTTTGGTGGTCTTAAACATTTAAATGGTGAAAATACTTTTTTAAAAATAAGAATTCCAGAAGGGGACAAATACTTTTTCACGGCACTGTATAGCTTTACAGTTGTAGCTAGTTTTGAGTGCAATAATTTTATTTCTTGGGTGTTCTGCTAGGTGTTTTTATCCAAAACAATGCTTCATGTTTTATGCATTTTCAATGTATATCTTGATCTGTAAAACATCCTATAGCCAAAGCTGTCTAATAGCTAAAGTAAAAAGTACATTTCTTGCTGAAATGTTTTACAGTCGAAGCATAACGTGTCAATGAAATACTCAAGTATAATGCGATGTAAAATACACTATAGAAGTAAAAGTACTTGACTACATTCCACCGCTGCAAATAAAATAAAAAACGCTAACAATACATGGTGATGCACTTTACACACAACAAAACCGTAACATGTATGTCTTCAGCTTCCAATATGCAGCCCCTTCAGTAAAAACCCCACATCCATTACAGAGAAAATGAACTGCTACAGAGCTGCAGTGGCAGTCGAACATTTTTCTCCTTTTCACTGCACCTAAATAACGACATGGCTGCCGATTTGTCAGGGGAATATGGGGTATCTGGAAGTGCTGATAATAACAACAGTTAATAAAACAAAGGGAACTTCTGTTTTCATTTGGTATTCAGCCGCATTTCCCGGACTGTGAGTTATCGAGCGTGTCCCAGAGGGAGTGTGTTAAACGCCGGGCGGCCTGGCTTTGCAGAGAAAAACACAGAGTGATGGAGTTGCTCCTGCTTCAGCTGCCTCGCTCTCTCTGCCTACAGCCTCTAGATCTGATACTGGGGCGCGTCTGTCATCTCCTGGTGAGGTGGAGAAAACTGTACGAGACGCAGAGAGCAGGGTGTGTGTGGATGCGATATAGGATATGATGTGTGGAGGATAAGGTTGCAAACATGTGCTTGTTTTAAAGGAGCAGTTCAGAATTTTGGGCTGCACTTATTTGCCTTGCAGCGAAGAATTACATAACGAGTGACACGACTGTCCTTTTCATCTGGTAAATATTAGGGCTCAGAAAGTGAAGCACATTTTTGCCTTGAGTCATATTGTACAAATTGGACTGCATGATTATTTGATCCAAACAACAAATTTACAGATTGCACAGATGTTTGCTGTAAACTAGCTAACAACAGATGCATGCATGTGGAAGCAACTCCCATGACTTGAGGCAGAAGTCAGTTCAAAGTAATTTTAAGTACAATTGCTCCAAGCGATGCTGGTCCCAGTTGACTCTTATTCAAAAAGCAACATCTTCATTTGAGCCATTATAGTCTCAGTCGATAAATTCAAGTTCTCCTGTTCAGAAATGATCACTTGATTAATTAGAGCTAAAGCTTTACAGAGGGCTGACATGTCTGCTGTATCGCCACTGATTGACAGCTGTGAAGGGACATTTGGATCTTCAGTTAAATAATTAAATCTCCAGACACATGGATTTATTGTGTTTTTTTAAAGAGTTTCATAAACAATAGTCTCACAGGATGCTGCCACATAATATTTCATTAAGTTTAAAGTCACCTGATTATGATAACTGCTCTGCTAGCGCAATAAAGCTAAAGTAGCTAACATTAGCCCAGGTGTGAATCCTCCTGTGTTTCCAGTAAACTAGTGTTCACTCCAGACACTTCATATTTGGAAGGTCTTGGCTCAAAAAGGAAAGGAAGCGCAGCTCTTGCCTTCAAATCGTACAACAATTGCTGGAGCAACACCTCGCTACGTCCATCTTTATAAACAATCTGTGGTTTTTGTTCAGGTTAGTACGAGTCAGAACATAGAACTCATTATAAACTTTAGTTCTTCCTGTGATTTTTCTCCAGTCTCTCTTTTATATTCTCTCCTGTGTAGATTCATGTTGCCGATTCATAGAGATATGCAAACAAACTTGTTGTTCGAGGTGAGACATTTTCAGTTAAATTTGTGTTTTTTATTGACTTTGTCTGTATAGACGTCTAACAACTTTGAAAGGCTACAGCCAACAGCTAATTAGCATAGCTTAGCATTGCGACTGGAAACAGGAAAACAGCTAGCCTGGCTCTGTTTAGAAGAAAATCTCCCAGAAGCACTGCTAAAGTTCACTATTTGAGACATTTTGTCTTGTTTGTTTGATATGTACAAAAAATAGTGCATAAAAACAAGAATTTGTTGTTGCACATAGTAATTTATCCTGTTTACATTTCAGTGTTCGTATGAATTTTAAAAAAACTGGCAGGTTTTGGTAGGTTTGAACGAAGCCAGGTGCTTTGAGTTTTAATGCTAAGCTAAACTGGCAGTAGCTTCATGTTTACCCCACAAACATGAGATCTCAGTCCTCTAATCTAATGCTCCGACAGAGAGCAAAATAAGTCTATCTCCCAAAATCTCTTCCTATCCCCTTAACAGTAAAATAATGACTCTTGAGCACAAAACAATGAAAAGGGCCCCATTTCAGACTTTTCCATTTTAATCCTCTCTCCATATTTTTCTGTTGACATGGCTGTTCTTGGCTACAACTCCTCAGCAAGGTGACTGGGGTCATCAGAGCTGTGTTTGTCACCACAGATCTGGGCATGCCTCCAACACTCCTATCTGACCTAAGTGCTACATTTTGAACCATTTCCATGGCTATAAACTGTTCCTGTTTCATCACACTGCAGCTACACTCTCTCTCTCTCTCCCTCACCGTCTTGTGCTGGGCCTCCATGTTGGCCAGCTGCTCCTCGTAGATAGCCACTTGCTCCCTCAGTGCCAAACACTCTGCTGTCACAGCATCCACTTCCTGCAGAGAAAATCAAGTTAACAGAGAACAATGCTGGAAGTAAAGAAGTTCAACTCAATTTCAGGAGGTGTCTGAGAGGGGCCGTCTGCGGTTTGGGAACTAAATCAAACCACAGGTTGAAGAAACAAAAGAAAAAAAAGTCTTTTTTTCCACCTTGTACACCCATTTTAAGAACCATCAGCACCAGCACATCCACTGTTTCACTGAACAGCAAGTAGACACTGCAATGCAGAGGAAAGGGGAGGAGGAGGAGGAGGAAGATGAGAAGGAGGCTAACTAGACACAAAAGCTCTGTCGCCCAATCCATTTGCCAGCAGGGGTTCTCGGCTCATCTACTCTTTTAAAAGAACCAGACTAATTGGTGCTGGATGCAATAACCGTGGGTGCCTGCATTTACATTTGATCACATGAAGGGAGCGTTTGGTGGTGAAGTTGTGGATCCTCGCTGGGAGGGTGGCAGGGTCATTGATGTACAGCAGCAGGCGAAACTGCTGTGGTCCTGCTGCTGCTGCTGCTGCACTGTGTTCAAGTATCAGTCAGCAGCTGGAGAGAAATTACATTCTGCGCAACTTTAACACAGTATAAACTGAGTTCTTTCGCCAGTGGAACAAGCTTTAAACACATTTAATATCAAAGTTGTTTTTATCCACCTCATTAAACACATGCAAGTTCATGTCCACCCGTTAAATTAGGTTTATTATTCACTCTGCTTTAAACTCTGCTTTACTCTCCACCAGTTCTTGAGGGAAATAACCGACTCTTTAGCTGCAAACTATGCTGACCAGCTAAACTCGTCAGTATGTTGCAGCTGCAAACTATGAGAGTAATGAGAGGAGAAAACAGTCAAACTACGGGGTCTTGAAACCAAAACGACAAGCTAAAAGACACTATGGTTGTGTCGAGCTGAAAGGAGCTGCAGATTTTTGGTGATTATTCTCTGTTGGTTCATCATCACACGACTCCTTCCACATCACACCTCATCCCTTTTACGCATTTTTAATATGAAAATATTCATTTGTGACGCTTTGCACTAATGCAGCTGCGGCCCGTCTAGTTTTGTGTCCTGATACGACCCTGTGAGGTTGAAAGCTAATGTACCTCACCAAATTAAGTCTTTTAAAGTAATTTCAAGCCTTGTTTTTACCTTCAAAGCAGCTGGACTCACTACATGCTAAACTGGCTGACCCCTTCATCCATCTACTCAAACTCATTGTTGTATCACAGCCACAGAAACTCAGCGACACAATGAAGAGGGGGAATTTGTGAGCCTTGACAATGACACAGGAGAGAAAACAACACAACAGCCAAACATACACTTTAAAACCAACCAAACATGGTTTGTTCATTGTGTTTAGAGAGCTGCGGCTTGTTGTGGGCAGATCTGTGTAGCATTCGCTCCTCTCCTCCGCATCCCTGCTCTTCCCTCTACCTCCCTGCCGTTTTCCCACCAAGTCTTGTCACCCTGCAGCTGCTTTCAATTCAGAACCGAAGAACTGAGCCAGCGGGAACATTACGGCACTGTATTACATCCTGCGTTACATCTGTAAGAGAGAAATCAAAGCCTCCCTCGCATCTGGCCCGGCTGGGAGGAGATGGGCTATGGCATGTGTGAGGGAGGGAGGGGGGGGTCTGGAAAAGTTGGTGGCTCAGGTTGCAGTGGGCCACCAGCCCAGACTGGGCGACTGCTGGTGATCAACACCCATTGGGCTACACTACAGAGGAGCAGCTGTGCCAAGGCCGGTCCACAAGGAGGCCAAGAGGCTTGACACCGCTGCCATCTAGTGCTGGAAGGACATTATCACAACAATGGTCTGATCACAAGCAGTAGCACTGTTTTTAGGTTTATATGTAAGTTTTAAGCAGATTGAAATCTGTCAATATAATTATTATTACTACTGTCTCACTAATTATTTATATAGTCCCAACCAAATCTACTCTTTAAAGGCCACTCACACTCATACATTTTTTTAAATCTTCCTTTAAAAGCTTGTAATGTGGGAAAAATGTGTGACTTTACCCATGAAATATACTAATAGTTATATTGTGGGAAATATATGACCCAGTGTTTTTAGGTCATACGAAGGACAATCAAATCAGGGCATCCCAGTAGCTGCAGCTTCAATTTTGTCGATTCTTTTTCATATGTTGTGTCTTGCAGATCTCATGGAATTAAGATAGTATAGATAAAAAGTTTTTTTTTGTTTTTTTTTTTTAAATGTCAACAATAGTGCTCTGGTTTGGAGGGAGCAAAAATTCAGGTTACACCTGTGGAACAATTCATAATTAATAGTTAAGCAGTCCATAGAATGCTTAACAGGTTGGAAAGAGAATGCAGGTCAACTGCGCCGTTTGTATGGTTATTGTAAAGGAAAAACAGTGAATGAAAGTTGTGAATGAAGTTTTTACACCTTGGAATAAGCCACTAAATCTGCAAATACAAATGGTAGTAAATCGTTTCATTGTTTGTTGGCTTTGAGTCTCTGTAGCTTTTTTACAGGGTTGGAGGTTCATTTACAGAACTGATATTGTAAAATAATGAGGTGTATTATTGTTTGTTTTTTTCTGTACTTGTCATCTGTTCAAAGGACACCATTCAGGATAACACTATAGTGTACGTAGTCACAATAAAGTTGTCAAATCAAACTCTATGTAATCTCAGTTACCGTACACATTGATGATTGCTACGTTTACTCATTGATGTAAAATCAAGCTGTACTAAGCTTTATTTCATTTTTCTGGAGAATAAATATTTCAACATTCTAAGTACTAAAGTACTTGGTTAGAACTCCAATTATTCTTGTTTCAGTACTGACAGTACAATTAACCTACTTTTGGTAATGTCTATTATTTAGGTAAGTTATTCATGCATCCTTGCCTCTGGTTACTTTCCTTTTTCTTGTTTACAAGTTACTGCTGTGAGAAATAGCTGCTGGCGTAACAGCAGACTTAACAGTCCGACTTGAACCATGAGAAGAGGAACTTGGGTGTTTCCTGTTACAAATGTGATTCTGAATACAGAAGACTCACTTCAAGACAAATATCAACATGTACACAACACTAACTACTACTTTCCTTTACATTGAACCTTATTGTGCCACTTTATGTTATTTTTTCTACCTGCTAAGTAGGCTAACAACTTGTAGCTACTGCAGATAACTTTGATCATGTCCTCAGTAACTGTTTATGGGGAATTTAGAATTTATTGGCTGATTTCATGCATATATAATTTCTAATACATTTAGGTGTATAAACAACAACATGAATTACTCCATACTTGCCCACCAGAGTTTTACTCCTGACTGTGGTCCTGAAGCAGTGTCAACACTTTCATACAGGAAAATAAAGCTTACAGACAGAGTAGTTGACAACTGTTACCTCAGCAACATCTTGTCGTTCCTGATGAATGAGGATCTTCTGCTGTGCAGCCTGCGCATACTCTTCCTTTAGACATTCAAGCTCTTTCTGCAGCTCTTCGATGTCACACAGAATCTCATCCTGCAGGAAGACATGGTGACTACAGTGATGGATCCTGACAAGGTTATAGATCAAGCTCGTCTGTCACTGTACAAAGTGACATCAAATTGATGGGGTGGAATGAAGCGTGCATAAGAAATGATAGAAGATCTAATTTAGGTATGCCATCACACAGAAAAGCATGCAACAGACACACCCAGCAGCACCCTACCCTCTGCCTTCGCAGTCTTTCCACCACTGCATCCAGACTGTAGTCAGGCACCACCACAGTGGAGGTAACGCTCGAGTTCGCTTGCTGACTTTTCAGCTTCTCCTCTTGTTCAATGATCTGATATTCAAGAGACTCATTCTCCTCCTCAAAGCAATGGGCCTGAAGGACACACAGATAGAATAAACAGGGATGAAATCAGAGCAGGTACACACAGAACGAAGGCGTGACACAGCACGGACAAAATGAAGTGCTGATGTGTGACTGGCAGCAGCAAGTGTTTGTACTCACCAGCTCAATAAGCCTGACCAGGCGGTCATTGAGGGCAGCGATGATGGTGCGATCCTGGACAAACTGGTGCAGACCCTCTTTGTTTAGAGCCTTCGCAGCGACAAAGTCTAACTTGTCACAGTCACAATCGTCAGCAGCTGCAGCCCTGAAAAGACATAAAGCTTCGAAGACTGGACTCAAGGTTGTGGAAGATTTTAAACAAAATCACATGAATGTATACAGTCTACAGAAACATAATAATTTGCTACATTCAGAGGAGCTTCTGTTGTGGAAAAGTAAACTACAGCATCATTCTTTAAACGTTTCAGTGCACTTTTGCAGAGGAGACCGAGTTATCCAATGAGCACAATAGGCATTTGTCATCGACAGACACGATTTTCTTCTGAGCCAACGATTTACTTCACCCCTTATCGTTTATGATCACTAACCATTTATAAAATGGTTTGCCACATGTTACATTTCTTTATACCCCACATATAAAGTGGTAACAGACTCATATTACATCCACATTGCAGTGTGGTGCTGATCATTTATTCAACGATTAAATAGAGCTCATAACCTAGATTGAGGAACTTGACACCCATATATTTTTCTTTCGTCAAAAACTTCTTAATTAAGACATGTTTTAACATTTTAATATCAAAAAATTGTCATTTGAGACCCAGACTGACCTGACAGAGGCCCGGTACTGGCCCCCACACTGCACACTCAAGCCTCCATTCCGACTCCAGCCGTCCTCCTCAAACAGCTTGCGGTAAGAAGACACTCTGAGCGTGGCCATAGATGCGGATGGGTTCAAACTGGGATAAAACACAACGGGCAAATGGTGGCAGCAGATTCAAGGCGGGTTTATATATTCACAGAGAATGAGAATGTAGCACTGAGGTGAAGCAGACTAACTATAGCGTGAACATCAGCCAGTAACGATTTCACGTGTAGCTGAGGCGTGAGCTCCAACATCTACTGTGCAATTGTTTATAAAAATGAGAGGCGGATTTTGAACAAGAAGATGTTGAACCGGAGCACAAAACCAGCTTTATACATAGTTTTATTTCTTTTAAATAAATTAAAAGTACCAAAAATCTGAAGTTGAAAACATGTGTTTCCTTGTGTACCTTTAAATGTACCTTAATTTTATGACAAAACTGAAGACAAAATCACAATGAATCCAACCATTACATCAGTCGGTACAGTGGCATAAGACAACACTAAAAATCAGCGGATTTTGATTACATTGATTTTTCTGTTGAACACGACATGATGAAGGCAGTATTTCTAAAGAAAGTGAATGTCTGTTGGTAAATGGTTCTCCCAAATCTGAATCACCAGGAATTATCCCTTCAGGCTCAAGCTACTTTTTGGCAAAGCTCAGCTTGATAAAGGCCAACAGAAGAACATAGTGTAGTGATGGTAAAAAGGCAGAAGAAATTACAGAAAAAAAGGATCAACTTCAGCCCAACAGACATTTATAGAAGTGCCATGATTGTCAGCATTTTCACGTTACATCGCGCGTTTACATCTCCCAATTTAAAATCTTCTGAGCTCCTGAAGCATCTGAGAAGTAAAACCTCTGGGCTTTTTCCTGGCATGACTACGTTACATGAGATACTAATAGAAAATGAATAGAAATGTGACAGGTAATGCTGACATCTGTTGGGTGAAACTGTTAAAGAGGAAATATTCATTAAACACAGCACAGAAGTTCCTTATTTCAATAACCAAGACATGTTTTGCAACAGTAACTACAGAAAAAAAAAAATCCTCTGTGGCACAAAAGAGAAAGGAGCACAAAGACAGGCTGTATCCCGCAGAGTAATGAGCCATTAAATCTTGCTAAACTTGCACGCAGAAAATGCTGCATCACTTAAAATAAAAGCATTACTCAACTGGATTTACCATGAGGAAAACAATGGCTGTGTCTTGGCATCACACAGGCCTAAAACAATGAATAATGAGCTTTAAGATGTGGCAGAAGTGGAAAAAAAGAGACATGTAAATAAACACAGACATTATCACCTTCATGACAAACTTGACAAATTAATGACACTATCACGGATTCGCACCACCATACACTCACACACCCATGAAACAGGAAAACAATCACTATTTACACCATTTAAGACATCAAGAACCACAGAGGGTGAGTCTCCACTCGATTCCGGTAGACCAGGAAGTTAGTGTGTTAACAGACTTGTTTTGTAACTCAAGAGGAACTGACAAACCAGAGGTAAGGCTCACGGCTGAAGTTACACAAAACCACAGCAAACATTCACAATAAAGAGTTTTCTATAGCAGTGTGATAAAAACTAGTGATGAATACTTCCAATGAAACATTTTAAAACCAATGCAGACCTGAAGATAAACCACTCTGCAGCAGAAACTAAGAACTGTTCAGATGATGCAAACTTAGAAGAAAAAAAAAAGTATAAATAACAGTTAAAATACAATGATGTTACCAAATAATTCTATCTTGATATTGTCTGATCAGCTAAAATGCTGCAAAATGAAAGATTGTCGTGGTTTACCTTAAGCTTAAACATTCTTAGTGATACGTTTCCATAATTATCCCATTTCAAACTATTTATTTCTTTGAACTTATACCTATTCAGTCCAAGTCTTTAAAACAGAAAGTAATTTTCCTTTAGTGTAAGTGAGCCTTTCATTAGCATCTATGAATACCTAGTGTTTTCACATCCACACCACTCACTTTTTGGGGGTTATTTTGGCATGAGCACCAACAAGTGTCAGCTAAGAACGAGGACAACTCTAATCCGGAGGCACAGGTCCATCATGTCATCAGAAAGTGCATAGGCATCAGTTCAAACCTCACCCAAGTGCTTCCACATCTAGCAAGTTGTCGCAATGTGTATGGACTGAAGATATGACACTTGCTTAAAATCATCAAAGTCTGAATGGAAGTCTTGGGTACCTCATATGAGAGTTTGTAAAAGGTAGGGTGCAGAAGAGCTGCACTGGTCTCCAATGGATGACAAAGTACCAAGAGGATCATGTTACGCAGTGTCATACAGGTCCAGGTCCTTTGCAACCAAGAAACTAGGTTGGGAACTCAGGTGGCGCCATAAGGAACTATTGACCTCAGTTAGTCCTCGTCTCCTGCCATGAGGAAACCCAGGACGAAGTCGATGGCTTTCTGTCGGTCGTGCGATGTCTGCCTTCCCACCAAGTTGGGAGGTGGTCGAATAAGAAGGCTGGCAAATAGGGTAGCTGAAAGACATGAACAAGGCACAAAATATATCAAGAAATCTGATTAATTACATAAAGAATGAAGAGTTCTTAACGATCAAGCAAAACACAAGAAAACAAAGTTATATGCTCTCAATAAACAGTGACTATAATATGAGCCATTCAGTAAACATTTATGTCACTATAACCAAAGACTTGTCACATGTCAGGAAATTTAGCACACTGGATACATAAAGATCAGAAGAAAATCAGGGAAAAAAGTAATACTGCCATTTTCCTAAACTAAATCTGTATCTTTCATAATGGTGCTGACACTGAAGACTTGTGGCGGAAACACCATCATCACATTGCCTGTGAACCACCTCATGGGAAGAGGACTTTGAATTCATGGTCACAATTTTATTTAAAAAAAAAAAAAAAAAAAAAAAAAGGTTAATTAGGCAAGAAGCATGTTTTATGCTAATGCTTGGGGGAAAAAAAATCTTCCCATCTTGATCTATAAAAATCCAGAATCAGTCAGGCTGTGGCTCTTATCCTAGTTATGTACATATATATCCCCAAAACAAACAGATATCAACAAACCAATTTACATTGTGCGACACTGCAAAAATTAACACTAATATGTGAAACTTTTAAACAACCCTTTAACAAGTTCTAAGGTATGGTATATGATACGATAGCAGCAGTCTCTTTCTTACCTATGAGGTTGGCTGTTAGATTGTTATTGTGTGAGTGCTTGAGAAGTTCTTTCAGAAAGGCCATTAAGTAGCGGAACACGTTGCGATGAGCCCGGGGCAGCTGGGAGATCAGCTGCATAGCATAAAAGCAGAAACATAAATTAATCAATGCTGAAAATAAATATAGTGCTCATCTGTACAATGATGTGAAATCAACGCCTGATATGCTGTTCATCAGATGCTGCAGTGTAAACAGAAAGAACTGTCACCTGTTTGCAGAGGCGGCTATCATGGGTGGAGTCCAAGCACCGCTGGTAGAGTTCATAACACACCACAGGCTCTGGTAAGGCCTCCAAGAAGATCAACAGAGCCTCCGCTACAGAGTGGTTACAACCAGCTATGTCAACAGTTACGGAAGACCAAACATTTATGGAGTCCAGTGTGGGCATTGCTAACAGATCAGACTTGAAACAAGCACGACAGTGACTACGAGTTTTCCATTCGTTCATGTTTTATTGCCGTTTCTTACTATCTGTCAGCAGGCGGCGAGCAAGCTCACTTAGATTATAACACTTAACACCTTCAACAACATCATTTGTATGTTAACTGAATAAGCTGTTCAGTGTTTCTGTCTGTCTGGTACTTTACGTGCTCTTTGGCATTTGAGTAAATACACAACTGGATGCTAGAAAATCTTGGCTTGTAAGACTTGCAGTATAAAAGAGGATACGGATGGAGTCTGGGATGCTGGTGTCCAGACAGTCGATGATGCTCTGCAGCTCCTCTTGTAGGCCTGGTGTCTGGAACAAGTCCTCCTGGGAGACAAACATGGAACATTTAAACCAGTGCTCACACCTTCTGTGTCTAATTAGTGTCACTATGGTTGTTATTTACTGTGTCATGCACATACAAGTGCTCAGCCCACATGGACTTATAAACCACCACAAAATACCACTGCAGTGGTGATACATATGTTAGACATGAACAGAGCTTAAATTACATCGCAAACGGAGAACTTTGCCCTCTGTCTCTATAAATAAAATCTGCCTCATGACAAGTTTCTTCCTCGAATAATCTGAAGTTTCTTATCATGAGTCACCTTGAAACGGAAATGACATTTTAAGTGTAACCTTACATCATAATTAGAGCAACAAAACTTGAACTTTGCTTCTGGCATCAACTAAATCACATAGAAAACTGTCTGTTCTCTTCAGTGAGACCAGTAAACCTGCTTCCTTTTATTTCAACTAGCAGTCTACCTGAATGTAAATACATGGTAGTGGTTTTTCATCAGACAATATGTTAATAACTAAAGTTAATAATTCAGGTTTGTACCAAACATCCCATAGCAAACATCTGTCTTTGGAAAAGATTGCACAGAACATCATAAATATTACACTGTCATACTGTTAAAAAAAAAAAAAAGTATAAAACAGTATAAAACAATTAAATCATAAAAACTAGTATGTTTTTAACTTACTAAATCTTGGTGCTTTCATGCAAAATATCTAATTTATGCATGTAAACATGTAATTTATTGTTGTCCAGTGAAAACAAAGTATCCCTACATTTTGCAGTTCGTCACTTACAGGATTGACTGTTTCTTCAAAGATGAAAAATTATCCAAGTTCACAAATAAAGGAATTAGTAACTTATCCAAATCAGCTATAAAATGCAGTTTTTGGAAGTGAGCTGACAGTCTAGAGACACATGGTTTTACAGGACAGTGACGCTATATAAGATGGATATTTGGATATGACGATTCCTCACAATAAGACATTATCACGTATGCCAAGGTATTTTCTTTTGTAAAATAGTTTTTTGTCAGTGTCACTCAGCTCTACATTAATATATTAGAGAACAAGCATTCTTACCCCCAAGCATTGTAAACATTTTACATAAAGTGCACAAGTACCGTAACTCTGTTTAAGAAGTTACAACAACCAATCAACTACCTCATTTTCACAGTTCAGCAGTTCTATCACTGCTCGACATTAAACACCCTTCGTTGTGGCTGCTCACCTGATCACAGGACTTGGTAAAGAGGTGGTTGACCAGAATCCAGACTTCCTTGGGGATCTTCAGAGGTTTGTCCTCGGTACTTGCCCCATCCACCATCAGGAAGCTCACCTTTGACTTTTCCTGATTGGAGGAAAATCACAATGAGATTTTATCTTATTCTCTGGATTATTATTTTTTTCCTTATTTGATAATTACAGCTTAAAGTTATCTTAACTCATAACACCATACAGTATGATTCATGCTGCTATAAATACGTGTAACAGAGAATAATACAATGATTGCACATGCAACATCTGATATATTAGTAATAGAGTAGGAGCAGCAGTGATGTCAAAATGATCTCAAAGGTCTGAAAACTTAAAGGGGAGCCATTTTACTGATATGCAGAAGAACTGGATATCACATTCCTTTTGTCTCTGCAAATAGATCACAGAGACTCACAAGAGACTTCCAAAAATAACCTCAGTTACAGAGGCTGTACATAAAGGAGGAGGAAACTGGAGAGGGACTTTAATGGAGGGGAGGATGATGCTAACATGCAGAACTAATGTGATATTGTGTACAATGTTTTAACACACAAGCTTCTACTGTGATCCTTAAGGGTGTTTACAGTGGAGTGAATCTTATAGGAGGGCATTTAAGACCAAGAAAGCTGTAACATGAAATATATCAAATTGCTACACTGTACAGAAATTAGGCCAGATTTATATTCTAAGTGGCTTTCTGATTATTCATGCAGCTATTAACTTTCACTGATCACTAGCAAGTTATAAAAGGAAAGAGGAGATTCGTCATTAGGCTTTATATGAATGTCAAAGCTTAGCTGATCAGACCTCTGTCATTAGCTTTAATCATGTGTGTGAGGAAGCTGTGCAGTGAGGGTGACCTGCTGTGAAATGAGACTTAGTGTTTGTCTAACTTTCACCAGACTGGTGTATTCTCCTTGCCCTCAATGGCCCATGTCAGATTTAATGGGTGACTGATCCACACTCGGAGATTACACCAAGCTAACGAAGGCACGGTCCGGTCTGTGATTGCCTGTGGATTACTAACTGCTGCCCGTGTCGGCTTTCTAAAATGTAAAGCAAGTATGAGTAGGATTCACATTCAGATTCGCTTTTACAGCCACGTTTCACTAATTGAAGCTGCAGTGTTAGCATACCAAATAGCAGCCGAATAAAACTGCTACTTGTTTGAGCTACTCAAACAAATTGCACAGGAAGTTGTTTGATAGTGGGCTACAAATACCGGCTGTTCTAGTAGAAATTAATCTGTGAAATTAATCACTGTGTCAATTATTTATTTATTTTTTTTAATGGCTCGCAGTTTGCCAGAGCTCAACATGACATCCTACAATTGCTTCTTTTGACCAGTCAACACATCAAATGTTAGATTCTTAAGCTGTAAATAACAGTTAATATAGCAAAGGATTATCAGCCCAAATCCAAAATCGATTAATAGTTTGGGCCATAAACTGCCCAGCATAAGTTCCCATGGCCAAAGTTTTCTCCGAACAACGATTTGAAACTGAACATAAAGATAGTTTCAGAAGTCTTCACATGTCAGAGGTTGGACACCGCTAATTTATCTTTCTTTCTTTACTTTTTTTTCAACTGACTAATCAAACTTGTTGCAGCTCTATTTACATAATAAATAGATCATAAATCTGTCTAAAAGTGAACCTGTAAATCTTGTTTGAGCACCACTTCAAAGTTAATGATCAAACCAAGTAATGCATTAAAGAATCTCTTATGTATTCGTCCTACAGCATAACACTTGAACTGCTCTCTCTTTATGACAGGGACAACCGATTCAATGTGTCATAAAGCAGATACTCGATCAAAGGAGTCTTATACTGAAGGTGACATTGACCCTGATGTAAGTGACAGCTGATCAGAATCGATGTTAATATTTTACCTTTTCCATGTAGCTGTCCTCTCCCTGAGCAAGAAGTCAGCCCAGAACCACAGTGAAGAGTTGGAAAGGAATGATCAAGGCAAGGAGAGGCGATGAAGGGAAACAAAAGAAGAAAGAACAAAGTAGATAGAGGTACTATGTATCACAGAATGAGAGAAGTAGATTATGGATAGTTCTTGCATTAATCATTTGATCAAATCACCAGGCCAGTAGGAAAATGAAACAGTTTAAGCAGAAATAAAGGAGTACTGCATGATAGGAAGACTATAATCCAAAGTCAGATCAGATAAGGTCAAATAACATTATGAAAGAAGACAGTGATGATCACGTTAAGACCAGAGGACTCTATTTATAGGAAACAGACTAAAGTGGGTCGAACCTGAGTCAGTCTTTCCTGTTCTTTAGGAGCTCCCTTGCTATGTTTTTGCCACTTCCTTGTTCCCTTGGCCCCTCATGGCCAGAAATATACAGGTTGAGGCATTTCATACTCTCCAAATATAGGCTTTCTCTGTGACTGAGTTTACCCTGAGGGAGAGAACAAGCCCTCACGTGCCCCCACTTCAGTGTCGGGTAGTGAATAGCTCTAAAGTGAGGAACAGTAATCAGGTTACAATCTGAGCTAAACTGATCTGTGCAGAGGAAATTTTATGTTTCACAACAATCAGGTTTGACTAAGTTGGAGGAAAATATGTCTCCGTTCACTAATCCTATCGCTTTTCATTAATTTGAACGCATTTTCTTTTTCATGACTGCTGGACGACCTTTCCCTCACCAGGTCAATGAGTTTGGTGATGGGAATCTCTCTGATGGGCTTCTTCATGCGGCACAGAGTCTCCAGTGAGGTGCCAAAGCAGCTGGGCAGGTATTTGCCAGAGATGGTAATGAAGTAGTCCTTGCCACGGTCCAGATGGAGCACCAGAATGTCTTCTATGGAGTCTTCTCCAGAGTTCAGCAGCGTGACAGAGTCTTTACTGACATACACCTCCAGATAGATCTCCAGGGTCTCATCTGTTCAAGAATATAATGACATGGTTCAGATTATTGCAAGCTAAAGGAACATGATCTTATGAGGAAACATTTTTAAAATGTGCCTCACTTGATCTATTTTCTATTGTATGGGTGGGGCACTAATCATCTAATTTTCCCTACACTTTGCCTTACTATATGTTCCACAAATGAGTGCAGAAAATATCAACAAATATTAGGTGGACGTTAAAAATACTGGGGAAGTAATCCGACAATAAGTTTGTGCTTGTTACTTTTCTACACTGTAAATAGCACAAAACATAAGAAAAATAGGAGCTCTCCAATTTGAAACTCCTTACTTCGAGTGTGAATCCATTAGTTTCCATTTGGACATTAGAATAAGGTGTGATCTTTGACAATACTTAACCTGACACTGGCAAATCTGAGATATTTAACAACACAAAGGAAATCTGACAATATATAACTACTGTATACTATTCCTTTTGTATTTCCTTACAAATAACTACAACACAACATGATCACAGGCCCTACAGTGAGAGGTAATAAGCCTGAGGAAATCAAAAGAAAAGGCTGTTATTAGGATCAAAAGGACTTACTGGGCTCTAAGAATCCATCACTTGGCTCGGCACGCAGCCAAGGCTTGCAATACTGCGAGTCATTGAGTTTGGGGATGAAGGCAAAGTGACAGGGTACCTGCCCGTCATTTGTTATTAGGAAGCGTTCCTTTTGAAGCTGCCGGAATTTTACATTCTCAAATGCAAACTGTAGAGAATGCAAAAAGAAGAAACATGATTCAGTAACTTCAATCAACACATTTAAGGAGATATTAAAACAGGCGAATGTTTTTGACAAAGGCTTTACTGAGTTTCTATCACTGATGACAGAGTCAGTGTGGTAAGTATTTGAGTATTATTACCTCTCTCCTGCTCAGAGATACAGATGGAAGGAAGTCGTTCTCCATTCTATCCATTGCACGAACAATCTCCTCAAACACCTTTTTGTGGCGCTGCTCATCTACCACCTTCACCTGTGTAGGATATGAACAGACACAGATGTCAAAGGGACATACAACTTTCCAGCTCAGGTCACAAGAAGTGGTAAATCGACTGATCAGATGGGCCGGAGCCTTGCCTGACAACATTCACCCCCAAAGCCAAAGAGCCTGACCAGCCAAATGGTGGTATGGAAACAGACGTCTGGGTGAATGTTTATTGCTCTCTCTGCTCTGTACCTAAGAAATCAACATGGACAATTTGGAGAAAGCACAGGAGGATCTTAATGTGCCTTTATTAACTATTATTATCTTATGTTAGTTTAAGTGTTTTTAAATGTGAAAGTAATAATATCCTGGTAAACACCCCAAAAGCTTAATCATAGTTGGATAAGTCCTTCTTGATTTTATCAGCTTGTTACATAATCCGATGAATCGCCACCTTATCGTGGTGGAGGGATTTGAGTGTCCCTGTGATCCTGGGAGCTATATTGTCCAGGGCACTAGCCCCTGGTAGGGTCTCCCAAGGCAAATTGGTTCTGGGGAGGGACCAGACAAAGAGCGATTCAGACGACCCTAATGAAAAACAAAAAAGGACTGCCGCCACCTCGCCCAGAAGAGGGAAACCGAGGCACCCCCCTGGAGCCAGGCCTGGGGGAGGGGAGCTTGCCGGGGAGCGTCTGGTGGCCAAGCCTTGGGGCCCCGTGGGGCTCAGTCGGGCACAGCCCGAAGAAGCTACACGGGGCCACTTCCCAGAGGACCCACCACCCTCAGGGACGAGGATCGGGGACGGGTGCTATGCCCACCAGGTGGTAGGCAGGAGCGGGCATCCTGGCGTACCGCCCCCTGGTGGCGTAAACTAGCTCTTGGGACATGGAATGTCCCCTCACTGGCGGGGAAGGAGCCTGAGCTGGTGCGGGAGGTGGAGCGCTACCGGCTAGATATAGTCGGGCTCACCTCCATGCACAGCAAGGGCTCCGGAACCATACTCCTGGAGAGGGGTTGGACACTCTCCTTTTCCGGAGTTGCTCACGGTGAGAGGCACCGGGCGGGTGTGGGGATACTCACAAGCCCCCGGCTGAGCGCCGCCTTGTTGGAGTTCTCCCCAGAGAACGAGAGGGTCGCCTCTCTGCGACTGCGTGTTGCAGAGGGGAAAACTCTGACTGTTGTTTGTGCTTATGCACCGAACAGCAGTTCAGCGTATTCGGCCTTCTTGGAGTCACTGGGTGGTGTCCTGGAAGGGGTGCCGCCTGGGGACTCCATCGTTCTCCTGGGGGACTTCAATGCTCACGTGGGCAATGACGGTGAAACCTGGAGCGGCGTGATTGGGAGGAACGGCCTGCCTGATCTGAACCCGAGCGGTGTTTTGTTTTTGGACTTCTGTGCTAGCCACGGATTGGCCATAACAAACACCATGTTCGAACATAAGGTTGCTCATAAGTGTACCTGGTACCAGAGTACCTTAGGCCAATGGTCGATGATCGACTTTGTAGTCGTATGTTTTGGACACTCGGGTGAAGAGAGGAGCAGAGCTGTCAACTGATCACCACCTGGTGGTGAGTTGGATCCGATGGCGGGGAAGGCTGCCGGACAGACCTGGTAAACCCAAACGCGTAGTGCGTGTGAACTGGGAACGTCTGACAGAGGCCCCTGTCCTTGGGGTTTTCAATTCCCACCTCCGGAAGAGTTTTTCCTGCATCCCGAGGAAGGTTGGGGACATGGAGTCAGAGTAGTCCGTGTTCAAAGCCTCCATTGCAGAAGCAGCCTTTAGGAGCTGTGGCCAGAAGGTCACTGGTGCCTGTTGCGGCGGCAACCACAAAACCCGCTGGTGGACACCGGCGGTGAGGGAAGCCGTCAGGCTGAAGAAGGAGACCTTTCGGGCCTGGTTGGCTCGGGGGTCTCCTGAAGCAGCAGGCAGGTACCGGCTGGCCAAAAGGGCTGCAGCTGCGGCGGTCGTGGAAGCTAAAACTCGGGTGTGGGAGGAGTTCGGAGAGGCTATGGAGAAGGACTTTCGGTCGGCCCCGAAGAAGTCCGACGCCTCAGAAAGGGGAGGTAGGGATTCTCCCAGGCTGTATACAGTCGGGGAGGAGAACTGCTGACCCAGACTGGGGACCTTGTCGAGCGGTGGAAGGAGCACTTCGAGGAACTCCTGAACCCGGTAAACACGTCCTCTGATGAAGGGGCAGAGCCTCAAGACTCGGGGGCTTCTGCGTCCATATCCGTGGTAGAGGTCGCCGAGGTAGTCAAGAAGCTTCCCGGTGGCAAAGCACCAGGTGTGGATGAGATTCGCCCTGAGATGCTGAAGGCTCTGGACATTGTTGGACTGTCATGGCTGACACGTCTCTTCAATGTCGCGTGGGCATCGGGTACAGTACCTGTGGAGTGGCAGACCAGGGTGGTGGTTCCCATTTTCAAAAAGGGGGACCGGAGAGTTGCTTCTTCAAGCAGGGGAGTTTAAGTATCTCAGGATCTTGTTCACGAGTGATGGGAAAATGGAGCGTGAGATGGACAGGCGGCTCGATGCAGCGTCAGCAGTAATGCGGGCGCTGTACTGGACCGTTGTGGTGAAGAGAGAGCTGAGCCGCAACGCGAAGCTCTCGATTTACCAGTCCATCTACGTCCCAACCCTCACCTATGGTCACAAGCTTTAGGTCGTGACCGAAAGAACGAGATTGCGGATACAAGCGGCCGAAATGAGCTTCCTCTGCAGGGTGGCTGGGCTCAGCCTTAGAGATAGGGTGAGGAGCTCAGACATCCGGAGGGAGCTCGGAGTAGAGCCGCTGCTTCTTCGCGTCGAAAGGAGCCAGTTGAGGTGGTATGGACATCTGGTTCGGATGCCTCCGGGGAGGCTTCCTCTGGAGGTTTTCCGAACACGTCCACCTGGGAGGAGACCCCGGAGGAGACCCCGGGGCAGACCCAGAACCCGCTGGAGGGATTATATCTCTCGGCTGGCCTGGGAACGCTTCGGGATCCCCCAGGCAGAGCTGGAAAGCGTCGCCAGGGGGAGGGAGGTCAGGGACGACCTGCTCCGTCTACTGCCCCCGCGACCCCGGATAAGCGGAAGACAATGGATGGATGGATGGATGGACAGTTTAATCTGCTGCTTTCGGAGAAAAGGCTTTTCAAGCCTCCAGGCCACACTTCTGATCGACATTCAGTTTCTCACTCTCAGGGTCTCATTCTAAATTTTCATCGTTTGTATTTTATGTTTTATGTTTGTTGTTATTTGTTTGTTGCAGTTAGCCATAAATGTATACAGTTGTTTCTTGTGTTTTCTATATCTTACTTTCAGTCACTTTTCATATCCGATCTTTATAGCTACCTAAGCTCAAATTTAATTCCCTGACATTATAAAACACTCTTGACTGATCACCAAGAGTAAACAGTTTATTAGAATTATTGTGCTGACTCTGAGATTATATCGGTGGACGAATAATTTATAGGTTGCTTTTGATCATTTGAAGTGATGCAATAATTTGCTTAATGGTAGAGATAAGTCTAACTTATTTCCCCCCTACACCTGTTATCCAAACACACATATCACAACACTCATTAACTTACTACAAGACTACAAGTCTATTTACTACTTTTCTACAGATATCAAAATGTATTCTTTCTGTGAAAGTGACACAGGCTGCTAAAATTAATAGCATTTCTCCACTCGGGGTATTTTATTTGATTTGACCACACAGATTCTCACCCCTATATCGAAGAGGGAGCTGACAGGCTTGTGGTCACTAGTTTTCAGCTCCATGTGACTTCGGTATTTTAGCTGCTGGACATTGTTGCCCCTCCACAGGATTCTGTCACACCAAGCAGGGACACGGCACTTCCCACTGCAGGAAACAGCCACAGTTTAAAGAGCAAAGTCAGAGATTTGATATCATACAATAACACAGTACTGCTGATTCTGTGTTCATGTAACAATTAGGTGGAAAACATTTTCACACAAGCAAAATTTTATCAGGATAACAAAGCTGAAAACTGAAACTGTGGTAAACTTGGCAATAGCAATACAAATTCTTGAGTAAGTTTGTGTATTCATTTGTTGAAAGAAAGATTCTGCACAAGAGCATGGTTTTACCTTGAGTCCCATCGATCTGTTTTGGGGTCATACTTGTACGTGGGAATGAAGTTAATGTCTCCTTCCATGAAGTCTGTGAAGGCTCGCTTTGTCTGCCTCTGAATATTCAGCTGCACATTTGAAGTGAAAACATGGTCAATCATTATTTGGTCAAAGTGGCAAAACAGATTTTATAATTATTATCACAATCAATTCATTAATTTAACACTTCATTGCATGTGGAAATCCTAAAAACATGTAACAATTACTTATGTTCTAGCTCCTCCTATTTATTTCTCTAAATTATATTTATTAAGAACTATTTTGTGTTTCAATTTCGCTAGAATTTACTGTCAAGTCCACATCCAACAGTTGCAATCTCAAGTGCAGTCAATTTCTACAAAGCACTTACGAGGCATATTTTACTTATGACTACCGTACATAGGCACAAAATATGTTTTATGTCAGAGTGAGTTCACATACAATTCATCGTTATTCAAGCAATGCTTTTTTGAAAATAAAAAAGGGATAACTTTAGCTAAACAGAAGTTGTGATGGGGCCATAAACTGTACCTACTAATACCAGATGGTGGTAAGTTTTCTCTCAGCTGTTGGTTATCAGTACACAAGCTCATTTACCTGATCAACCTCCTGGAGCTTCTTGAGCTCATTCTGAGCAATAAGTTGTTTCACTTCAGAAGCATCATACATAAACAGACGATAGTTTAAGTCTCCGAGCCAGATTACTACACTGAAACACACACAGGAAAAGGAGAAAGCTTTCAACAACCGAAGAACAGCAGCATCTTTATAGTGAATGTGATTATTCTCACAAAAACAAAAAGCAAGTCAAAGAGATTCATTGTGTTTGGCACATGTGCCAAGAAAGATAATGAAGTTCTTATGTCATGATACTGTATAAAGCCTAGTATTGCAGAAAACAGGAAATGTTGGTAGGCAACATGAACAAAACAGAATGGATTAAAAAAAGATTCACATTGGTGAAGAGAGTCCCCAGCTGATGATACAAACCAAGCCCGACATTAATGATTGAGGAACTCACTCGTGCTTGACGATACTGAGAGGTGGGTGCTCCAGTAAGTGGAAGGTCATGCGGGCACATATGTCCTTATAGTCCTGATTGCGGCGCTCAAAGTCTTCCACATGTGCTGCTAGATGGGAGTTGACAATGCAGAAGCTTGTGTTGTGAAAAACAAACCTCACCGCTACACCTCCTTTGTTTCCCTGAAACATAAATTAAACAGGCACTTAATTCAAACAAGAAAATACATGCAAGGACAAGATCAATGCAAACTGCAAATCACATGTTTATTATCTATTTAATTCAAACAGAGGTCCACTATAATGTCATGTTAGTTAAAAACGTAAAAGAACATAGTTACTGAAGTTAAGTTTATTAGTGAAAGGGATATTTCACAGTTTCAGTACAATGTAGTTAAAAGCATAGAATCACAGTAGGAAACAATCAAATAGTATTTGGTAAAGCTCTGGGCTCATACATTTTTATGAAGATTTCTTAATGCTGTACTGAATATTTTATACATTTCTAATGATCTAATGAATATTTGATTATTGTGTAGTTTGTGTTGTTTGAACAAACCATTTTTCCCATGATGCCCGTCCCCACATGCTCCGCAGCCACTTCTTTTATGTGATTCTTGTGTATCTTTTTGACAAAGACGACGAGCATCATCCCAACTAGTCGTATGATCCGAACCTGCACACATAAAAACTTACTTATACAAGTGTATTCATCAATATTACAGGTCCTTATACGTTGGAATGGTTCTGCTCTTTCCATTGTGCTTTTCAGAGTTGTGTATTACCATTGAATTGTGTCTTTAAACAATATCCTCAATATTAGTTTTACATACACAACCTTGTACTTTCCACTTGTTGGCCAACACGCCCAACTCATCTTTCCCAACTCACCTTCTTGTATTTGGCCTTTGAATGCAAGCTCCTCTCCACAGCTTCTACCCACAGCTGCTCCTTCGATGAGTCCATGTAGAAGAAAGCTTCAGTGCTCAGGTCCAGTTCTTGAAAACTAGAATCATAAACCAAGTCATCACATTAGATGGTTTTCAAGCATGAGGCAACATGTTTGAAAAGTTCTGAATGATTACTTTTTACTGACCCAAGAGCATAAATATCAGGAGGTTCAGAGTCACAGCAGAGCCATGATTCAAGGCTGCTGTCTGGAGACTGGCCGTTTACGTTCCATGTACCTGTGAAAAACCTATGAAACAACATATAGTGTATGGTGAGTGGCGGCTGTAACGGCACTCTTTAGCTTTTTATAAAATCATACTTTTTCATGCATTCCAAGTAATCAAAACAACAAAACTTTAGATAGACAGAATTAAGATGCTTCTCTTACTTGAAGGGCCGGATGTCCACATACTCATTCTCCTTCTTCCCCAAGCGGTGTTTGATGAGGTATTCTCTTTGTCCTGCCTGGCTGGAAAACATGGCCTGTCTCATGCTGTTGGTTGTGGGGCTGTCACACCAAGACGTTGGCCTGTCCACGCGGTCAAACCCTGACCTAAAACTACTAGAATGAAAAAAACAAGAAATTATTTAATACCAGAAATATTACTGACAGATTCCACATTAGGATACTGAGCCTCCTGGACATCAGTTGATAAATGAAAGTTGTTTTAGTGTATCCATCCATCCATCCATTATCTATACACCACTTAATCCTCACTAGGGTAGTAGACTCCAGTGCTTTTAGTAAGCCAGACATAATAAGAGGCCAACTTACTCTGGCTTGGAGCTACTGATTAAGGAGTTGTCTTTGGCCTGTAAGGGGACAGGTCTGTCTTTAGGGACTGGTGCAGGAGGCAGAGGATTGGATGGAGTGAAGGAGGCTTTGCGAGGAGGTAGAGGAGGAACTGGTGGAGGCTCCCGAGAGGCAACCAGACGATTCTGGTGGTTCTTCTTTTCTTCCACTTTGAGAGCGTGGTTGAAGTTGTCCTCAAAGCCGAAGTCTGAAGCGAGTGATTGAACTGGATCTTTAGAAACAGTAAGTTAAAAAAGAGGATTCAATCTATTTGAAACAGAACTAATTTGAAAAGATAATGAATAGAGTTATGTTTAAGACTTTATTTTCACATCAGCTATCATTACACATCTTTTTTTTACTGTAAACACAATGGATCTGTATGTTACCTGCATTATTCTGATTTCTTGAAGTGCTGTTGTTGAGGTTAGGAGGCAGTGCACTGGTAGATTTGGGTAGGCTGACTCCGGCGTTCGCTGTCTTGGTTGCTCTTTGTGGTGGGATGGGGACTGGACCTCTCTGGGCTGATGGTGCAAGGGGCTCCATTGCTTTGGGTTGGGTGGGTTTGGATTCAACTGAAAACAAAAATCACATGTCATTATCAGAGTGCAGCACAGAATGATCAACATAACTTTGCTCAATTTGTGTGTAATTTATGGCAATTATCATAAGCTATGAAAAAGTAATGCAAAACTAATCAATGAACATGCGCCAGCTTGCTCAGGAAAAATGCCAGTGTAAGGTTATACTAGCTTTAAATTATAAGTAAAAACACAAATTTACATACAGTTTCAACAAGCCTCAGTAAATATAAATAGAACACAGACAAAAATGATATAACACTCAAAAGAATAATGTTGTTATTACAGGATGTAGAAGATACCATCAAAAATGTGGCTTGTGATAAGACTGAACAGACTCACACAGTTCTACTTGTACTGCTGCTACAACAGGATGTTATAAGCATTAACTAGCAACAGCAAACGGTACTAGCAGTTGCCAAACTGGACGAACAGGTTCCAAGCAGAGAAATTTTTGTTTTTTTTAATGTGTCATCACTCCCGGAAGTTGGTTGCTGAGCTGACATTCAAAAACCTCACTTTGAGGCAACCCAAATTAGAAGCAAAATAGAAATACTGACCTTTGTTTTTGTGCGAGTAAACTGTTTACCTATAACTAACTAGGCTGGTTAACGTTTATATGGTACCCTGAATATTTTTATAATTCAAAGAAAAAAGCACAAACACACACACACAGGCACTGCAGCAGTAGCTTACACATCTCCATCATAAATTGACTAAAGTCAGTGACCTAATCATGGCACATAACTGCAAAAACAATCATCTTACTGTCCCCCACCAAAAGGTTAGCAGGAGTTAAACAACAGCATGCATATTGAAGCTCTATACATCAGGTTTCCTAAAAGCAGTGCTTGACACTCCTATTTGCCAATGCCAGTTACGATGTCAATAAAATTGTGACAAACCGCAGATGTTGTGCAGGAGTGTTTTATTTCCTTAGTTCTTGTAACACTCAGTGTGGTGCAAACCAGCAAGAGCATAAGGTATTTAAGTCAGTTGAAACAAAGTGGAAACACACCACACTCCTGTAATATATAATTTCTTATGTTCCTATGACAACTTTGAATGCCGGCATCTTTAATGCTGACAGTGAATCATCCTCCATTCCAGCCTGCCACAATAAAACATTTTCTTATGCCACTGCTTGAATATAATCAATACACAAATAACAACATGTAGTATTTAAAAGCAAAATCCTTGCCCAGTATATCTTATGTTATTTCCTTTCCTCAGCTAACTTCAAATGCTCTCAAAAGAAACACATTCTAGTTTGCATTCATTTTGTCATGGTGTGTTGCTCCTTGCACTTACTGCCAGTTATACCTTTAAATTTTACGCTAAAAATTTAAGTGGAAATATTCAGTTACAAAGCTACAACATAAATTTAAGAGTAAAATCACAATGATGTAAGCTTTAATCCGTTCTGGCTGCATTCACAAAGGTGGGCTGGCACCCTTATAGGCAGATCTGATTTCAAAAATGGCAGCCAAAGGAGTCTTTCCACTAATGTGTGTGTGGCAAGAATACACAGGAAATCAGGAAGAGGTGTAATCCACCCTTAGTAAATAAATGTTAGATGAGTGATTAAATAATTCATCATCCCACTGCTTTAGACTACAGACAGACAATGAAGTCTTACCTTGTTGCTGCGCACTTTTCACCTGGGCAAAGAAAGTCTGAGTCCGATCATCATCCTGGAGTTCCAACAACAGCTCGGGGGCTTTTTCTCCTTTGATTCGTATCCTAACACAGGCTTGAGAAAGGAAAAGATAACACACACACACACACACACACACACATGTTGGACACCATTAGACTTTGCAAACACATTAGAAATGCAGACTGTCCAGGAAACAAAGTAAAGTGATTTAACAGCGAACCAATTCAGCATTCTTGCACAAAGCCCTGGCAACTCATGACCACAGTTTGCTACTAAATAAAGACATTTAGCTGCAGGCATGCTCTAAAAATGTAGTAAGGCTGGATAGGACCTGTGGAGCAGTGAGTGCCAGCTAAAGTCTTTAGACTGTCTTATATAACTTACACATAATTTACACATATCTATGCAAAAACGATGATATTTAACTTGAGGAGAGGTAAAGAGTACTTACAATCTACTGAGAAATCAATAAGAAGAGCTTCTTCAGCTTCTGAAAAAAAACAGGAAAAGGGCGTAAACAGTGCAGTTCAAAGGTCTGTAGTTGGAGCAACTCAGTGGTGTTGTAGACTATTTTAACAGGCAGTGGTCTTTTGTTGTTTTTTAAATTTTCTCTTTCATGGTAACGGAAAAGCTCCCTGGACTTTGACTTCTTCACTACTGCCATAACCCTGAGTAAACAGCAACACTGCTATGCATTAAGAATGTGAGGTCCGACTGCCACAGGCTGCATCTATTGAACAGGAATCACAAACATCTAACACATGAACACAAAGAATTCAGTTAAAGTTTGTAGCAGTTGGTGGCATAAAATTCCCTCATCATTTGAATATACATAAACACAAATACAACACAAAACAGGTAAAACTATGATGTAGAGAACAAACAAAGTCACATACCTCGCACAATTTCAAAATGATCGTTGATGGGTATGGACAACTGAGCCACTGGACGAGACACAACAGCATCAGGGGTGGCCAAAACACCCAATCTGGATGAGAACAGCACAGGGTCCCACTTAACACCAGCTGATAACTTTACATATTATTTAAGCTTATCAATAAAAATAATCAAAAACACACTGCATATATACAGACAAGCTGCAGCAATTTCTTTTTTCTCCTAACAGCCATTCTCTTGCACTTAAAGTTTGTTTTCATGCACTGCATTCAGTATGAAAATATTAGAGTATCTGAACATTTGAGATGTACTATTGGGCAGATGTACTATTAGGATTAGATCATTATTACTGAGTGATTAAAGCAAAAATGTAAGATTCTCAAAGAAAATCTAAAGCACATGCACACATGCAGATCTTTCCTTTAATTTAATTTGCAGTTGTTTTAGCTGAACAAGCAAACAATGACAAAAGCAAGCATTGTGCTTCATCAAGTTTTGTTAACAAAACGTCACTGTAGCAACATGAAGCATATTAAGTGGAGCTAAGCTTTGTGTCTCTAAGTAGTCAACATACAGCTTCAATTGTGGGATGTGGGTTAATGTAGGCGGGGTCATGTTTCACTTTCTCACAATGGCTGACTAACAGCTGAGGTCAAAGCAGCACTCTGGGCACTGCCCACGCTTCCCCTCCACTTCACAATAAGTCTGATAACGGGTGAGGAGAGGGAAATGATTCAGGCCTGCGGGACTACATGTGTCAGAGGCACTTGTGGCTCTCTGATATGAGCAAGGAAACCTCTGAAATGAAAAGCTACATGACTTCTAACAATGGAGAACATCTCCTTCTCAAGGGGATAGATGAAACAACACAAACACAGCAATAAAACGCTATCACCAACTAGTTTCTCTCCCAACCATTTTTCCTTGTCAGGACTGCTCCTCAGTTTAATACTTGAGGTTTTAACACAATTAGCTGATCTGGCTTGTGTTACCATGTGAGCCTCATTACAGTCCAGGACGAAGTGAAGGCAGAATTCTTTCACGTAATCTGCAGTGAGCTGGCTGTTGGTCAGACTAACTGCTTTCTAGCGCAAGCTACACTTATGATTTGACATACCCTCTCCTATCACCAGCAACATCCCCTTACAACCGCAAACACGGGTCAGGTTGTGTGCATGTGAATTCCAACTAAATCTCAGCAAATCTGACTGTAAAGCAGGGTTGCATGACTATAGAGAGCATGTTCTACCTGCTGGAGGACCTGTGGTGTTCAAATCACCACAGCTCCATGGACAACACTGTCGTGTAGTGTCCTTTCTGACCTCTGAGGAGGAGGTCAATGAAGAGTCACTGATACCTGCAGCAACCGACTTTGGTAAGTTGGGCTGGCCTGACACTGAAAATTTGTTTCAGGTTCTCAGATATTCTGCCCCCTTCACCTGAAAAATCCCAACTCTTGACAATATTTACTCATGTCTGACTTAGTCACAGAATTTATAACACTTTTTTATTTGATATGACAAGACTACCAACCCTAAAACAAGATAAGCAAACTTCACTTTCTGCACCATCTCATGTATTGGCCAGTGTGAGGGCATCATGGGACACACCCTTCTGACGTAACCGGCTGCATTTTTAAGCATACTGATAGCAGTTCATGTGCATGTTAAAAGCCATACTTAGTTCACAAAGCAGCACAGATATTCCGTGCATGTTAATGGATGACAGCAAAAGATATAAAACAGCTACCAAGTTCAAAGACCTGCCCACAAAAGCTGGTCAGACACTTAAGAAACACCACCACCCAGAGTCTACCCTTTATTAAAGACAGCTGTCGAAAACGTGGATTTCATCAGAATACAGCAAAAGCTAAAGAGAGTAGATGCTGCAGAGACATACACACAGTCTGTGCCATCTCTCTACGTTTACCTACTGCCTGACACAAGAACACATGTTTTCAGTCATTACATCTCTGATACTTACACAAACTCTCCACTGCGCTCAATTAGTGACAGTAGTCTGGGCTCCTTCTGGCCAGACCTCAGCTCCTGACCTCTTACAGTGTGAGCAGCACAATCAAGGAATTATTGTGACTGAGGATGAGAAAGGCGCTTGGACATCACAACTACGAGAAGCTGTAATTTTACTCCAAGGCAGACAGAGCCTCGCTGTCAATGTTAAACCGTGTTGATAGACTGAAGACAATCAGAGGCGATGATCTCTATTAGGAGAGGCCGTGCTCATTGAAAATTAGAAGGCAAATTAATGCGGCAGATGACAAGTCATAAGGCAGTGAAAGAAGAGAGAAAGAAGCAGTTCAGTGGCTGAGTTTACTGTTGACAGCCAACGCAGCCAACTCAAACTGAAGCATGGCTAACGTCATTCTGTTAAACAAGGGAGTTTATTAATGTTAGTTAGGTGCGACTGGTCACAAATATGCTTCATTAGTGGGTGAACTGGAAACGGCTGTAGCTATATAATAACATGATAATTAAACTCTTACGAGTTAACCAGCTAGCCACTAAAATGCAGTTAACATTTATGTGTCTTGTTATATTAAGTTAGCCGAAATGCTAACAGACGTTACCTGAGATTCCATTGAAAGCTAACATTAGCCACCTAGCTAAGGCAAACTAAAAGAAGATCCAAAACATAATTCAAAAAGGATATTGCCAAGCATTCCTCGTCGCATATCCCCAAAGAGGACTCCATTCTTACCAAGATAACATAAATATCAGTTTATCATTGGCTAGCAGACTTTATGTTGCTTCGGTCCAGACGCTGTGGCCAGAGAAAGTTAAATCCCCACCCGGTGCTGCGGCGGCCTGCTTCCGGGCAGCTGGGCAGCCGTCGGATGCTAATGCTAACCGCTCGTTAGCCAGCTGTTGTTGTTGTTCCTGGAAGGTGTCACAAATCTTTAGCAGAGCCCGGGAGTAAAAAATGCCGCGGTTGGTGTCCACCTCTCTGTCAGAAACCTGGAAATATCCGCCGTTTGTCGTGTCCTGCTCGGTGTCAGGGAGCAAGCTGCCCGGACCACATAACGTTAGCAGGCAGTTAGTGGCAGATTTAGCTAGTTACGGTACAGCAGAGAGTTAGCTGTGTGGACTCCCTCCTCCGTCTGCCTCCCTCTGCTCAGTTATTAGACGACTCGGCTTCATCGTCTTGGATTTTAACTGCAGAAGGCGACTATTATGAGGTATGTAACGCCATCTTCTGCCTTGGAGTGAGAACCAGAGAGTAACTGCAGCCACCCTGACAAAAAATGGAAGGAAACGTGCTTCATCATGAGGTAAACATGCAAATATCTTCACATCAAACTTACACTTAAGCTTCACCTCATCGTCTTTGGGGCTTTTCTAGGATTACCAAGAGATGCTACCCAAACAAAATTACTATATTTGCTGAAAACTGTCCTTAACTAATTTGTTCCAATAAATTACATTATTAATACAGATGCATGAAAGCCTAAAATGTGTCACATGATAAATCTGAAGGATTGTAAGAAAATTATTGGGAAAAGAAATCAAATTAAATGAAAGGACCTGGTTTGTAAGTACCATAAAATGGGAATAATCGTGATATTGTATCTTTAAATGCACTTTAGGTACATACCACCAATGCAGATTTGCAAATAATCTTTATAATAAAAAAATATAGCCTTAGATGATGTTCTAAAATATCTTCAAAACACAACCTAGGACATAAAACTTTTGAGTTTGTGCCTCATTTAGTTTAGCTTTTTCTTACATTTGCAGTACAATAGGTAACTGTAACAGCAGGCTATAATTATTATAGATAGATAGATAGATAGATAGATAGATAGATAGATAGATAGATAGATAGATAGATACTGCTGGATTACACTCATATGTCCCTGTGACATGACTGTAAGTAGGTCTGTACTGTACTAATGTATCATCCAGGAAGAGATGAAATGCTTTCTAGTCCACTTTGATTGCGTCTCCTGTAGTGCTTTAGTATTTTTAACCACTCAGAAAGTATTTATTAAACATTAACCAAAGGCATCGCTGTACTCAGACCACAATCCTCACCAGGCAAATGCAATTTTTATTGCTAAGAATAACTTAGATTGCATTCTGTATTGGCAAGACAAGGTAAGTTTATTGGTGGAGCGGATTTCTACAACCACGTAATTCAAAGTACTTTACATGAAACATAAAAACAAAATAAATAATAGAAAATGCATCAAGACAAAGTGTAAAAGATGCATAAATCATTATTCAAAAAAAGAGATTTCAACACAATTTTTAAAAAAGAAGTTTTATCCATCCATATACACACCGCTTAATCCTCATTAGGGTCGCGGGGGGGGCTGGAGTCTATCCCAGCCGACTTAGGGCGAAGGCAGGGAAGACGTTTTATACGGAATTTTTAAAAAAGTGAGATAGAACTTAACCGCTTAAGACCCGAGCTCTTGTTCTGAGAATAAAAAATATAAAGAAAATAAAAATATAGTTAAAAATAGATTTTTTTTAAATGTTTTTTTTATATAAAAATCTAAAAGTCTAAAAAAAACAATAATAATAAAATAATAATAATAAAAAATAAAAAGAATAAATGCACTACTGTGGTAATATAACCCAAAATGTGAGGTCCACACATGTGGAGTGCAGCTTAGATATTCAAAGGCTTGGATTTGTATCTATAATAGGTCTTCAGTCTCGATTTTAAAGTACACTCATCTCAACATTTTTACATCCAACCACACCGAATCGAAGCAAAATACTGGTAACCTAACTGAAGCTGAATCGTTGGCCCAATACCCCGTTATTTCATAAAATATAATCACATTTAAAATGAAATAAAACAACCAATTGTCAGATGTTAATCTCAAGCATTTCACTAGACTCACTCCACCATAGGTGACACAGTTAAGGAGACACAATTCCATTTAAAATAAAAGTAACATCTGTGCGATTTTGGTCAGTAACTTGTATTTTAATAATGCAAAAGGATGCTTTAGTAGCAGCTTCTCTAACACGTGTGACTTCTCTCAGTTGTTGTAGGTCTTAATCTTGTGAATGGCATAAGGGCTGGAGTCCCGGTGTGGCCAAATGTCTCCGTTGGACAGATCCCTTGTCTGGTCGACCTCACGATCAACCATCTCAACCGTCAAAGTTGAAGGACTGAAGACGTCCGTGGTGCGGTAGGACTGTGTGAGGCGACGGAAGGACGACGTGTCCGAGAGTTCTTCATCAAAGAGGTCGTCCATGAGCTCCTTGCGCTGCCGGCGAGATGCTTTCAGCTCATCGTTCAGATCAGAAACTAGATCTTTAACATCTCTCACTATTGTGGAGCGAAGGCCAAACAGGCAGAGCAGGAACACCAGACCAGCACAAATACCGGAGACAAAGTACAGAGCCACTCGCTCCGGCAGATCTAGAAGGGGAAACAAAATTTTAATGTGCTTTCATAAGACAGCAAATTCACAGTTGCCCTTGTCGTCCTGTAAAATATCTTCTGGTAATACGGTGCCTGCCGGTGCTTTTACTTGCGTCACTCTACATCACTGTTGACAATTTACCAAAAATTGCAGCGTCATCATTTCAAAAGTCTAAAAATATCAATTCTTTTATTTTATACTGACTATTGCTTGTGTTTTCAACCAGCACACAAACACACCATCCAGGAAAACTTTTAGAAGCAGCAATCCAACGCTATCTATCTTTATCGTCCTATAATAATTTAACTTTGAAAAAAAAAAAAAAAAAAAAGATAATTACATGTTTACTGGTTGATTATGTGCCTTTTTCAGCTTTGGCGTGTGTGTAAGTTAATATTTATGTGCTATAATAAACTAAAAGGGCAGAAATAAATGACTGAAATTAGGGAAAAAACATAACAATATAGAAAAACATGTCATGCTTTGGAAAGTGGTCTGCAGCAATTCAGAATATTCCAAATTCCATAAAAAAATAAAATAAAATTTAAAAAAGATACGTTTGTAATATGCTCAGTTTGTGCACAAAAACACAACAAGAACAGCTCCTCAGAAATACAAATCACTAAGATTGTGTTCATCTGACTGCTGCTTAACTATGATGTACTTTAATTAAATGTATTTTTAAATGTAATTTAGCATATTAAAATGTTTTTTCATTTTTTTCTATTTAACACCTCCCCTACAATGTTTCTGTTTGCTACTTCTGAGATGTTCTTTTACTGCTGCTGTCAGCATGCTAAAACACCCCCTTCTCCCTTTAAATACAACAATAATGAGAAATGTACATGCTTCTCTAGCCTGACGTCTGCAGGCATTAGTGCACGTACCCAATATTTTTTCAAAGATCTCCAGAGAGTTGGTTAAGAGCACGTTTTGAGGCCTGTAGGTGGGGCCAGTGTACCATCCACCTGCAGGTGAGAGGGGTCTGGGCTCAGACACCAGTCAAAGTCTGCTGCATGCTACAAAACCTGCCAATATTTGATGTCACCCTCACCGTGTGTGTAGTCTGAGATCATGAAAGGGTCTGTTGACCCTCGACCCACATCTTCCAGAAGATAGCGGGGCACTAAAGAGGAAATGAGAAGTTGTTATATTAGGCAGAGAACTAGATCGCCTCTGTCACAACAGTAACATCTGGCTTGTTATTTACCACAAGTGAAGGACACTCGCAGGTGCTTCCTGGTGCCGGGGAAACAAGGGTCCCCAAAGGTTATTGTATCCGCCAATACTGAACAGTTTGCTCTGCCGTGACACCTGCGTGACACCTTCCTCAGAGCCGAAGGAGACAAACACTCTGGAAGGATTAGCATGAATGAAATAAGCAATTATGTTGCAGGAATCACTATAATTTACCTCTGATCAAAAAAAGTGGCTTTACTACAATTAGGCACAAGATCATTCATTGTTTTGACGCATTTTTCAAGATTTATAAATGTATACTAATAAATAAATGATGCTCCATCGTGTCTCTGCCAGACATTTGTTCCACTGTTTTGCCACTAGATGACACATGAACGCAATGTTTCAGACCCATGTCGGCGCGCGATCCGGGTTCCTGAGGACAGTGCGGGCTGCCGTGCAGCAGGTGTCCAAACGTGGCAGAGTAGATGGCAAGGACAGTCTCATTTTTACACATCAGCCTCAGACGCTCGTTTTCACACACCAGTCGTGTGCGGTGATGCTCTGAAAGACAAGTGACAAGACTCCAAGATGATGCAAAAAAGCATTTTGTTGAACATCTACAACATCTACTATGTTTTTGCATGTTTAGAAATAACATGTTTCGTGTTTCCTCACTGGCAGCCTGGTTTCTATTTGTTTCCATGCATCTAATAGTTGGAAAGGTAATCCAAAACCGTGTACATCTTGTCTACTTGCATTGCAGCCAATCTTGATATCATTGTATAATACACGTGTGTGTCTCTATAAGATGTGCACAGTTTCACCTGCAAGTAAAATAGAGATGATGTTAAAGGATAGGTTCATAGTTTTTCCTTCTTAAAACAACACTCACATGTCTATCTGCACATTGACACTGTCCCTGCTTTTGTAAATATTCCTCCTGTTCATTCTATCTATTACAAGACACATACATAGTCAAAGCTACTTAAGTCACTGTTTAAGCCA